ACAGAACAAACGCACTTGACAAAAATCTGAGACAGTTTTTTAGTCAAACGTGTTAAGAAGCGAATGCGTTCTTAATTGGCTTCTTCCGTTAATTTTTGGCTGGACTGGACTTACATTTACAGTGACACCCGCTTTCACAAAAAGCTTCTAATTTCTAAATCGCGTTAATATTTTGATTTTTAAAAGAAATAAGCTGGAACTAATAAGCTTTCAGAAAATGTACGGTTTATGGGGGTGTTTGTTAAAAGCGAAGGCGCTAGCGCCGATCAACGCGAGGAGGGTACTTGAGGGTGGATGATACCTTAATTCAAAACACGTGACCAAGAAACGACGGGCTATGGGGACGAGAATGGAAGTGACAATTCATCTGAATTCATTGACACCTCATGATCATAACACAACGCAATACTCCTGGTAAAAGAAGCATTGACTGGACAAGCCAGTTGTGCAAGGAAAAGAACCGAAAATTTAATCGGCTAATCTCACAGATATTCGGGCAGTGAAAGGCCATTTGGTGTAGTTTAGGAATAGAGTAAACTGCTTGTGTAGAGAGCTCTAGATCTGCAAATAAACTCAAACGTTTCCTGTGAAACTTGTAAGTATCGCAAAATTAACGCCCCATACAAGATCCCCCATCTTTAACTTACTTAATACTTAGTTTATTTAAAACCAGGGATTCGACAGTGTCGGTGAAAATTCCTTGAATTTCAGAGAAACTTGTTTGTGAATTATCTTTGAATTCAATGGATCCATAAAAAGACCTTGAACTTCTGTAAGAGTCCTAGAAAAGTCCTCGAATTTTCCCAAACTTTTATTTGGCAAAATCAGGTTGAGATGTTCGGCACAAATGTTAATGTTTCCGTTTTTCTATTTAAAAACTATGTCGGTTAGCTTTCTACAAAATACTAGCGTAGCCAAAGTGACCAGCAGTGCATGTACTAGAAATACGTATCTTGCAAACCCTCGGGAAACTTGAGGTTTCTGACAAGCCTTGCCAGTCGCAGTTTGAAACTGGTTTAGCCTGCGTAGAATAGCGGTTTTGGTCGGACGCGCAAGCAAGCCAAGGTGGGGCAGTGAAACTGCGAGGAGATTGGGGCGAGAGCAGTGTCGCCGCTCGTTCGCGCGCACTTTTGCGGCTTCGCTGCTCAGTAGTGTGCCCGACAAAACCGCCATCAGGCTACGCTGGCTTAAACTGGTTAGGAGAGTTGGACCCTTGTGCGTCTCACAGAATCGTCATTTTGTGCCTTTTGTCTTAAGTGTTGTTGGAAGCCCTTTCTGCTACAAATTTTGCCTGGAGAGTGTGCCTTTAAATCCCAATCATTACGGTTTTCCAAGAAACAGGACGAGACCTTGCAGAAAAAACCGGCAAAACCGGTCCTTGAAGACTTAAAAATTTCTTGACGGAAAATTACTTGAAAAATGATCTTTAAAATTTCCTGTGCGAAATTAAACTCCCGCAATCTTTAATTGCCACACGGTAGCTCTGTCGAAAATTTGGTCAACGGTTTGCCCATTTTTGCCAGTCATTTTGACATTTGTTGTCGTCTTTGTTTATGTTTTCTTCGTTTATCGAGAGTGGCAAATTTCGGCGAAATAACAGTGAAATTGATCAAAACATCACCTGCCGCGATGATAATACCAAACATCTTCCGAACGCACGGCTCTTTTCCGTTTTGCCTTTTCATCCTTTTATCGTCTAACTGTGTAAATAGACATATTTAAATAATATAAAACACAATTCTAGTTTGGAAGTCAAGTCTTTTCTATGCTCAGACAATTCGAAACATCGGCGAAAACCGCCTTCCAAACCCTGACCCGACTAATCTATTAGTCGGCAGATCATAAATAATAGAATAATTTCATTCTATTAGTTTGTTATGTATATAAATATATCCCTAGTAGAACTTATTTGCGATGGTGATCAGGATAAAAAGTGAAGCATAAATATTCACAATATTCAGCTCAATAAAATAAAATAAAAGGTACCTTTAACTTTATAATTTTCGCGCGTCTTTAATTCGCAAAAACAGAAAAATAATTGAGGTACGCGGTTTTGCCATTGTACACCTTATTCCCTGACCCCAGGGCCCTGTTGCACAGTTTTCACAAAATAAACACACAAAATAGTTGAAAAAAAATTCAATTTAAAGGCTTTTAGCTACACGAAAATGTTTAAGACGCCGACAGAAACAGTCCACGATTAAGTACCGTCGTAGGCTACATGCAGTTTGCATCCTTATTGTGAAACCGGATACCGGAACTACACCGAAAAATTTGAATAGATAAAGCTACGCGTTCTGCGAAACGAGAAATTTTAAAAATATAGTACATGCAAAATTTAGTGAGGTGAATTGGCTGGATTTCCACCTCATACCCTCGTGTTGTCTTTGTTCCTCCCCGACAAGACTCGGGAATTTGAGCTGAAGAAGCTAAGGAGTAGCGGGAGATCATTTCCAAAAACAGCGTCTGGTAAACGAGCCTATAGCCGCGTTTGTGGTAAAGAGATTAGGGATCTTAAGACTGAGACACCGAAGAACACGTTTGCCACGTAGTTATACAAAAGGCAACCATGGTAATTCAATCCCAAATGTGATAATGGCATCACCGTTCTACCTGGTAGCCTAGCCGTTTCTATAGGGTGAGAGGCAATCTCGCCGTATTTACGGCTGCGCGTACGGGTAATTTACTCCTAACCGTACACGGAAACGGTGTATATTGAGGTCTCTATAAAGCGAACAACTCTTTGGGTGCGAAACCGGTCCGCTCTAACAACCAGCAGTATCGGAATAGTAGGTGTCCAATTCCCCTGAACCAAATTTCAGGGTTTGACGTGTTCTTTTTTAGCTATGTAATTTAGACGCGCAATAGTTCGGTTGGGTTGACGTTTTTCTTGAAGTCCCGATAAAATCCCTGAAATAATTTGTAGTACGTGCTCTGCTTACGGATATTAATAACATTTTGTTTGTTGTAGAGTTAAGCAATAGGATTATAGATTGGCAAGACTGAAAAAAATCTGGTGGCTAAAAACGCCCCCTTCTGTCGTTTCTGTTTTTAAATACCAAGCCTGACTCCTTTTCCGAAAGTTATCATAATTAACGGAGGATGTCACAGTGTTTTGGTTTTAGCCTACACCCACACTTGGCACGCGCATACAATACAAACTTCAATTTATAGTCTCATCACCGTCTTCTTTGATTTAATCTTCTCTTTTCAAAAGACAAATTGCCTCTAGCCGCCGCCTACGATCCACCATCCCAACCGGCTTTGACGACCACTTTTAAAAGAGGTTATTAAATTAAAGCCAACGTCTGTAAACGCATACACCGTTCACCGAGTTTGTAAAGGCGCTGGCACAGCCGGAGAGGGTACGTTTAAAGTCTTTGTTTGATGGTAGATTTATATGCGAGGTGTTCATTAACCAGGGGCACCGAATAACTGTTTACTGAAATGTCTTTTCGAAGAAGCAAGTATTGCCTACAGGTTTTACAGCACAAGAAAGGCTAAAAATTTCTGGCTATTCGGAGTTTTTCTAATTAACTACCCTAAGCTAGATTTTCGGAAGTGGATTTTAAGCAAATTATTATTTTTTTCCCAAGATTTGGCGATTTGGTCAAAAAAGGTCACCTCCTAAAATTTTTTATGAAAGTATAGTTTCTCCATTCCCTCGCAGTTTCGATAAGACCCGCGGGGTTCGAGACAGCCACTAGTTCCCTTAAAGCATCCGAACAGACAGATACAGGAGCCCATCAATAGTATTTAGGGCAGCTTCAAATTAACGAAACAGCTTCTGAAACATAAAGAAAACCATTTTGGACATTTCTGGTCGCTGTGCTTCTGATTGTTCTGCGGAAAGAAACCACAGTAAATCGATTGTAATTATCTGCAAGTTTATGCGAAATTATTACAGGAAGTCAAAGCAAATGAATAAGAAATGGCGACAGTAATATAGATATATCTTCAAGTAGATTTGTATTTCTGCAGTTTCTCTGATCTTCATTCTATATGTTTCATTCCTTTTCACGGGTTAAGATGAACTAAACAAATTGGCATTCTCTAAATGTATAGGTTTTCAAAGCTCAGTTGGTAGAGCACCGCAGCGCTAACGAACGGGCCAGGGTTTCGAATCCCTTGCAGCTCTCTTTTCGGGCTTCATTTGCAATTGCTTAAATTGCGATTGGCATCGCGATGGTCCTTCTCTGTAAGCTTCTGTAGGTCAGCCAGGAACGTTTTTGACTTCGGGTAGACCGTGTAGGAATTAGACAAATCCATGATACAACTTGCACCCGTATTAAATTCCACCGCCATGCTGTAAATGTCTTGATTAAAGCTGCGTAACATCCAGTGTTATTCAGTGTTTTAATTTTATTCCATAAAGGTCTGAAAAGTCACTCCCCAAAGCTGATATTGCAGACTAATTTCATAGCCTAGTTACCAGTGTCTCCTATCAGGAGAGCCGAAAGAGGCTGGAAACGAAGTATACAATATGCAGTTGAACTGACATATAGCCTTCCATGCAGGGATGAAAGACAAGCTCCCCTAAAAACGCCTGCGTGGGAGACTAACTGGCATACTGACCACTTCAGTTATTTTTGACGTCTCATCTCCTTAAAAAAAGAAAAACAAAAGGGAAAAAAAGAAACCCTAAGGTTGATATTAATTTAGATGGGTAATTTAGCTGTTGGCCGTCGTTGTTTGAATTAATACCTGGTCAATTACTGTATTTCCAATTTTTCTTCGACTAACTATTTATTGGCCTTAAATGTGACACCTGTCACCTGCATACACTTTTATGAAAGATAAATTGAATATTTCAAAATTCTAACTGCCATCATTTGCAGTTCCAGGGAACGCTTTTTCGCCAGTCAATCTGCCATCATGAACCGCCAACTGTAAGTGGCCAACGTCAGTCGACAGAAGAAAAGAAATGATAATTATTATAATAATGAAAAAGCAACACTGAAAAAGCAACACTGAACAGAATAGCGATTAATTTGAAATGCGGATGTTAATTGACACACCTGCCACAAGCTCTGAAACCTTAATTGTCGAAGCAGGTAGTTACTAGCAAAGTTTGCCTTCCCTTCGTCTTGGAGCAGTGTACAGATAAGGAGATTGTACTCAGACGAACGCGATGTCATTGCCTAACGACACGAATGCCACAGACGAGGATGATGACCCTCAATATGAAGAACCCCCTCCACTGCGTATTTTTCGTCTTGCCTTGTTTTCCTTGATTATCTTGGCCAGCCTAATCGGTAACTCGGTAGTTTGCAAAGCGGTATGGAGTATGCCTTCCCGAAAGCCGTTTTCATACCATCTTGTTGCCAATATGGCCTTTGCAGAAATCATCAGCTCTCTGTGTTTGCCTGTCATGATGGTGTTCGGTTTTGAAGACGGACACGAGATTGAGATCGTCCACGATATCAATTGCATTGTAAATCCCATCCAAGTTCTTTCAATGATGGTAGTAACTTATTCGCTGGCCGCTCTCGCATTACACCGGTACCGAGTTCTCATCAACCCAGTTGCAAGAACTCTGTCGATTAAACTGAAACTTGCAACATTTTTTTGTCTGTGGTTACTGCCCACAGTTGTTTGTATCCCCTTGTTCCTCTCGTTTACGTTTGAAAATGGCCATTGCCGTCTATATCATGGATCCAGCGTTGGAAGTACCTTAACTTACGAACTTGTGAGATTCGTCCTAAATTTCGTCCTACCCTCCTTGGTCATGGTGGCATCTTACGCAGCTGTAGCGTGGAACCTAAGACAGAGAATCGGCCGAAAGGCAGCCGAGGCAAGGGGCTCGATCATTCCATCATCGCATACCGCTGAAGTCGATATTGATGAGCCTGTAGAACTTCATGCATTGAAAAACAACAAGGAGGGAGAAGAAGAACAGCAACAAGCTTGCCAAACCGCCCCAAGAGTGTTGGTCGCCGTAGATAACTGCAGATGTGTTAAGAAAGAAAACTCCACTGACGCCGAACAAGATTTACTGAAGATGATATTTGTGATAATCCTGATCTTTGTGTTTTGTTATTTTCCTTATCAAGTAGTCTCTTTGTGGGAAACATTAGCTGGAATAAGCGACTGGCAATTTCGGCATCACAGTTTGATGCGAATATACCTGTTTATTTTAACTTGTGTGCCAAGTGCTTTGCATCCTGTGTGTTACGGAACAATGAACAGTTTTTATGCTAAGGCATTCTCGAAGATTTTCCTGTGTAAACCCTAGCTGAACTGATGCTTTACGGGAATTGCTATAATGGGTCAGAGATACTAGAATGAATGTCGGCAGGGGCACCCAACGGCTGTTTTCAGTAAAATATCCGTGTTTGGAGAAGCAAATATTGCCTAGAATTTTCTATTACTTGAGGACGGCTAAAAATTTCTAGATGACCGTTCCATTCATGTACAATTTTCCAAGCTCATATAATAAATTCGCTACGATTTTCTCAAGTTTAATTTTTCGCATTTCACTGCCCAGGTTAGGCTATTTTTCGTAGAGAAAAGGAAACCTAAAATTTTAGAATTGAAAAAGGCGATGGAGAGAGGAATCAGAAAATGTCTCACTTTCGTAACACGTCAAATTGCATCTAAAATTTTCGGGAAAATAATACTCAAGCCCTTGTAATTTCGAAAAGACTCAAGTTGACCTAGGATGACCGAACTGAAACAAATTTTATGGCGCCGCTTAGGATGCATTTCTAACTTGAGTACTCTGGATAGCCTAAAATTCTCAATGTATTTAGGAGGAAACTGTCGTTTGGTGCTCCTTTGTCGGCTCCTTGAGAATCTGGATCGTACTGAAACTTAGTAATAAAAATGGCAAGGTTTCGTTCTTGCTGTTAGTTACCACGCGTGCATGGCCGTTTTTCGTCGAATAATGGCAAGTAGTTGGCTGCGCGCCGAGAAATAGAAAATATATTTAAAATTTTATATAAGCCTTGTTTTCTACGCGTCACTCTTACATGCATGCCTTTCAGGGATTCAGGGACGCCATCCGATCTCAATATAGGAAGTTACCACCACTCCCAAAAGACGGCCTGAGAATTACCTGTTTTCAATTAAAATTGATTTTTACTTCCCTTATCCGACTCTAATTAGTCTTCCTTTCCACTTGATGCGCCAAGCATAAATTAAAATGAGTTAGTTGTTATTTGATTTTTATGGACCGCAATTATTCATCAGCAGAAGTTTGTGGAAGCCGTGTCTGAGAAGTGTGCGAGTGCCTCAGTGTAGTTATCTTGCGAGAACAGACATTCAGTTTTTTAGTCACCTTTTAAGATCTTTTAAGGATAAAAACTGAAGTGTTCTTTCGTAAATCTGGTCTCAATTAAAAAAAGACCGAAACGAGAGCACTGCATTCGCACTCCAACATTCGCTGGGGCGCTTCATTTTTAGTGACTTGGAAAAAAGAAGAAAGTTAGGTGAGCGTTTTAAAATTATCAAACTTCAAGCAGCTCGAATTCGTTTGCTCAACAAGTATCACGTTTTTAGTGTTCGCCCGGTTCAGTTGATTTCTGTGATATGAATGCATGCAGGTGTGTAGGGTAGGGTCGTGTCATTTTTTTGTAAGGTTTTTTATTTTGTCTTTTTGCTTGTGCTATATATTATATTGGCACAAAATGTACATAAAAGAAACATGTGTTGATTCAGAATCGCTGACATCTGATCACTGTTCAACATTGTTGACCTACAAATATTGCAATTGTTTATTTAGTTGAACAGTACGTTTATCATTTTCTGTATGTTTGGATAGTTCACTCAACACGTCAGAGAACGTTGTTTAATAACAGTCAGTACAAGTCTTCAGCCAGGTCGAATGTGTACTTTATTCGTTCAACAAGTTGCCGCCTGAAAATCGCTCAATAATTTGCCTGCAGGTGAGAAACACCGGCATGGTGAAAGATATTGACAGTGTATCATTCGCTTTGTTCAAGTAATATCTAGCTATGTCGTAAGATAATGATAGGAGGAATAAAAATTTTAGGATGAGGCCTTAGTCTGTTGACTTTTTACAAGATGCAAGCATTAACTTGAATAATAATTGTAATTTACATTTATATAGCGCAAACCTCTATTATGAATATATTCGGTTGCGCTTTACAATATTGTTGTGTTAAATTTATGTTAAAGGTGACTAAAGCGTGAGAAAATATTAAAAACTACAATAAAAAGTATTATTGTAATATGACGAAACACCCTCCCGTACAGAGCTGATTGCCTACTCGGAATAGCCAATTTAAAGAATCATGATTGGAGACTACTGCAAATGTACATTTTATTCACAATTCAAACGTACAAAGCAAATAATTTTAAAACATATATTTTGTTACAAGATTCAGAAATAAGTTACATAACTGTAAGGGAAACAAAATACAAGTTGCTGATAAGGAAATGCCTAGTGCCAAAAATTAACCTAATACAAATGAGTTCTGTAACGATAAGGTTGGCCTGCGAGTTTACACTTCGTAGTTTTTTGGGGACACGAGTTCGCTGTCGGTAAAATTATTGAGACTTCACTTATAAGTATACTGAACAGCCCAAAAATTGGAAATGTTTCTATAGATTTTTAGGCCGATTCACTTAAGATGTTATAAACCAGGTGTAAAGTAAGGTTGATCAGACACTGAAATGTTAATGAAGGTAGGAAAAAGTTTATATATGCTGTTGGAGGCTGACAGGAGGAACTTAGGAAAAAAGGCGCAATATTCAGTTTGGGAGTTAACTTCCTCTGAGAAAGACAGGAACTATCGCGGAACAAAAATAGAAGGAGAATGATAAAAAATTTCACGAAGGAACTTCTTGAAATGCCAAAAAAAAAAAAAAAAATGAGTTGATGTGCATATGGAATTTCAAACTGCATTTTTAATATCAGAGATTATTTATTCATCCTTTTAAACATAGAATAAACACTGACTATTTTAAAAAACCCAAAAAAGCGTTTTAATGAGCGATGCCAATGTCACAAGCCAATTTGAAGAAAAATTCAAGTAGACAAGAGGATATGATATATTCTGTTGAAACCACTTTGAATTTACGATGCTGTCGAGACTTTTAAGGGGAAGTTAGTTTTAGAGGTACTATCTCGACCTTTTGTCCAAAAGAAAAATGAAAGTTTGGCAGATGCAATACTTAAGTGCATATCTAATTCCATACTTGAAAAAGAGCCACAATTTATTTTCCTTAAAGACGAACTGAACTTTACAACTATTAAAAAGTATTTCAAAAAATTTCAGATTACTTGTGTAAATCGCCCTTATAACGAGTAGACAATTGTATTATTTCTTACTTGTGATCTGAGAAAGGGAATACATGCGCTAATTCTATTTCGCCCTCGCTCTCTCAGCCACGCGGATTGTTCTTTAGCAAGCGAAAAGAAAATGATGAATAGAGTCCAATCACAAGTTATTTAAACCTATTACGTGCATTCTAGTCAGTATCGAAAAATATTGTCGGCAACCCCAAAGAACCTTCTCAGCAGGGGTTTAGTCGATTGCCTTATTGCTGGAAGACCTGGAAGACTTCTGATAATCCCGCGAGCCGCTGGGAGATCATCCAAGGGGGCAAAGAGTTCAATGTAATTAATATTCAAACTTCTCGAAACTTCGCAGGTGGGCGAAATTATGAAAGCTCATTGCCTAATTGGAGCCGAATTGGAGAGTGTTAATATCCTTTCAAAACTCATTAATGATTCATAAGCTTGTTGGCCTATCAAATGGTCGATAATACATCGCGCGTAGTGACATTATATAATGGACTTTAAGATCCAGCAACGCGACGACAATGAGAACTTCGCTTAAAAAGTAAATTTGCGTTCTTTCAGTTTTAATAGCGATTATTCCTACCCACTTACTTTTTCAAATGTAGGCGAACCCTCCTGAAGCTGAATTTCAAATGACCATATTCAAGCTCAGAAAGAGAGAAAATTTCGTCGTTGCTTGTTTACGTCCTCCATGCGAAATAAGGCATTTTTACGTCGTGGTCATGCGAAAACGGGGAAGAAGTGTACAAAAAAGCGTGATACAAGTACGAAGTTGTTGTTTTGCTTTTTGAACCTATTGATTTTTGGACCTTCTCATTGCAGTCCGCGTCGTTGAATCCTAAGGTGGCCCGAACCTATTTATAGGCGCGTTGGTTATGTTTTAAATCGCGTTTTTCGGCAGGAAAGATTTGACCGATTTCTATGATTTTTGGCATCCTTAATAAAGAATGGTGGAACTTTTAAGAAACTGGATTTATTTTCTTGTAGATATAAAACTGTTTGAGATATCAGCGTATGTTTAAAACCGCATTTTGAAAAAATGTCGATAACTTCGAAAGCTTAAGACAGATCTTTCTCTAACTTCAGCAAATAAGCCTCAGAGCTCTCCTACTAGTTTTATACTGCAAGTTTGCCGTCAACCATGACCGTAGAACTCGCTGCACAAATAGCTTGTCAAATTTAACCTTAAATTGCAACGCTAACACATTTGTCAAAGGTGACACGCAAATAGAGGGAAACTGCCGACGGACTATCTCCTATCTGTAAGGGTATTCTTGCCCAAAGCTTCAGCTACAAGAAACTGGCTAATCAGAAACCTATGGCGAATACAGTTCGCAACTTTATGCTGAATGCGGGCAAGACGAACGAACATCTATTTATCAAAGTTACTGTGTATTTGCCCTTTTACGGAAACCTCCTACCAGTTTCAGTTTTAGCACCGAAGCCGTCCCGTCTTGAGGAGAAATAAAGCCACCAACTCCAGTACTTCAACTGATCCATTTTCAGCGGCAACGAAACAGGGGCACCCAACGGCAATTTTCGGGAAAATATCTGTTCGGAAGACGATTTGAGAACTAGAATTTTCGGAACATTTGTTGTAAAATTTCTTGCTTGCCTGCCTCTCCTAGGATTTTCGAACATCTACAAAATGGTATAATTACCCATTTTAAACGGATAACCTAAAAAGGCCACCTAGAATTTTCAGTTTTGGCTAAAATTTTCGAAGTTTTGATCCCCGGATCACTAGACTTTCAGCTTGAACAGATGAAAAGTTTTAGGGGATAAAATGTGCCTATATCTACCGTTTAAATACTAAAATACGTTCAAAAATGGTATGTTAAGTGGTTTTGAACTATATCCTCGTTGGGTGCCCCTGACGAAAACCCTTGTATTGGGTAATTTATTCAAGCTTGAAAGATTTGCCATCACATTCGCACGGACAGTTTGACACCTGGGATAATGAAAAGAATAAGACGATTGTCATATTTTCTTAATCATCCCCAAGCGGCAAACTTCCCGTCCGAATGCGATGTCAAGTCTAAAAAGCTTGAATAAATTACCAAGTAGAAGGGCTTTCAGTGCAGCTGAAAAAATGGACGGTTAGAACTGACTGGAGTCGGTGGCTTTATTTCTCCTTAAAATGGAAACCTGCGACGCTAAAAACTCTTGAGAGTTTTTCGTAGATGCTACATTTTGCCCTGTTAAGATAGGTTTCCAAAAGAGAGGGACAAATACAAAGTAAGTTTGATGAATGGAAGTTTTTAATCCTGCCCTGCATTCAGCATAAAGTTGTTCTTCTTGTATTGCGAACTGTATTCGCCGTAGGTTTCTGATTAACCAGTTTTGGCTGGTAATTAACCTTGTAGCAAAGTTTCTGGCAACAGTGATGGCGGACATTTCCCAAGGGGCAAGATGGCCCAACCTTGCAGATAGGAGATAGTCCGCCGGCGAAGTTTTCGTTTCTGATTCAGTTTGTGCGCTTTCAACCCTTTCACGAATGTGCCGGGGTTTCATTTTCACGAATGTGTTAGGGTTTGACCAGCTATTTGTGCAGCGAGTTCTACGGGTCACGATTGACTTCAAACTTGCAGATATAAAACTAGAGAGCTCTGAGGCTTGTTTGCTGAAGTTAGGGAGAAATCTGACTGAGGGTTTCGAAATTATTGACATTTTTTTGTAAAAATGCGGTTTTAAACATATGCCGATATCTCAAACGTTTTAATTCCTACAAGAAAATAAATAACAGTTTCTTGAAGTTCGACCATTCTTTATTAAGGATGCCAAGAATCACAGAAATCGGTTAAATCTTTCCTGCCTAAAAACGCGCTTCAAAAAGATAACCAACGCGCATATAAATAGGTTCTGGCCACCTTTACTTCCCTATTATATCTGATAAAACCTCCCTTTGTTAGTATGCGGTGTTTTATCAGACATAATGTCATTCCACGTGACTTATCAATACTAATTTCAGCACAGCAACTGACACAAAAAAGGTGGGTGAATATTTAATGTTCTTTCAAAATAACACACGCAGTAAATTTACTACTGCATCATCCAAAAGTTCAGTGACTCAGCACGTGGCAATAGCAGTGTCCAAGCGTTCAGCGTTGCACTCAAGACTTCGAGTACTAGATTTTTATTTATCTAAAATTCCGCCATTCCAGAACAATATTTTAAAAGACTACTTTTTCACTGCACTTGTTGACTCTGGAGAACCTCGCACAACTTGTACGTTACGCGCGACCTCCATACATTGCTTCTGTTTTATTTACGAAGGTAAAATTTACGTGTGTACCCACATAAAAGTTACACGAAAGTGGAAATCCACCCTTATTTCGATTTACTAAAAAGTCGCCTTTTTGAAATAAAATGTGCTTTTATTTTTTACTGCTACTGCTGTTGTTGGTGTTGTCCTTTTTGCCTCCCAGAGCACTCATTTGAATATAAAAAGAGTCAGAAATTTTCTCTCTCGGGCAAATAAACGCCCTTGTGGGCTGCAGAATGAATTCGAAATTGTTCATACTGTACTGACTAAGGTCATGCATCATCCGACAAAAGCTGACTTCATTCTCTTAGCCTGAAATACTCTTTACCAGGCTCGTCTGTACTCATTAAAGGTGCTTTTGAATAACATTTTTCCACTGGACCCCCGCCAGATATAGCCAAGTGCCTAAGAGGAAATGGGTAAATGTGTTTATAGCCTGCGTAGCAGACGGGGTTTTTGGCGTGATCGTCGTTTGTGCTTCGTAATTAAGGTGAGAGACGGCAGCGCGCGTACCGAGGTCAAACGAAAAAACGCGGGGAGAGGGGGAAGGGAAGGAGGTAGAGAGAAAAAAATCTGCCTTCTTCCTCCCCACCCTTTTCCCTCATTTTCTCGTTTGACCTCAGCTCAGCTTTCGTGCGGCCGTATCTCTTACTACAAAAGCCAAAAACGAACAACACAAAAAACGCTTTCTACGCAGGCTTATGTGTTCATTATACCGGAGGTAAGTTAGACAAATCGGGATTGTAATTAGGGCGGCAAAGAATATCGTTAGTTGTCTTGGAGACTTCACAAAGGGGTTCGTTGCCCCACGCGAGAAAAGGCGACACGCCGCGTGTCGCCTTTTCTCGCGTGGGGTGATTTTCACGCCCGCTCGCCTTTCGCTCGCTCCACTATCCCTGCGGAAAAATGGGGGACTACTCGTAGTCTAGTTGCATCAGGATTCCACTCTCTTGTTATAAACCACTGCTCTTCTCAGATATAACTCCTGCCATTGGCTGATTAGAGATCACATGGCCTTAAAGGAGCTACGTCACGGTTTTCTGCATTTTGAAAACTTTATTCCTTTGTTGTACTGTATCTAATTCCTGGATCTAATCCATGGTAATACCCTTCATAGCAAACCATCCTTAATCTTAGTTTACCAAGACATCTATGCTTTTTTTCTATTTTATTTGACTAATGTTTCGAGGTTTCCCTCAATTTGAAGATGATGTTCAAAGTTGCAATCGTCGGGAGGGGAGGGGATGCGTATGACCTAAGTCTGAATTTCAAATTTGGTCGTTTCGAGGTCTGAGAAGTGGGCCATGTTCTTGTCGGTATTTTAAACCATCTTCGTGTCATTTGTCACCATTTCTGCTGTCCTATGTCGCTCCTATGGGCCTCATCTATTCACGATCAGTTCGGAGACATCGGCATTATGCGGCAACTTGGTTTTAATTATCCAGTTTGAAGTTCCTTGCAAACGTCTCAGCTACGAGAAGTGGAAAAACTAGGCTTGCATCGGCATAAACCTGGAAAAGCAGAATCAAAATTTGAGTCAGCAGACGAATATCAGTGGCAAGAACGACTTCGTACTTGCAAAAAAAACCGCGCCTGATGCTAGCAAAACTTTGTAACTGGTAAAGCGCCGCAAAGGTATTGCAAAGTTCAAGTGATCGAATCCCGTACAACCTAATTTTTTACGCTTTCTTTTCACAACTTTAAAAGTTGCGTCTGCAAGGCACAACTGCGATGATCTTCTTCTATACGCCTAATGACTCTCAAACGGAAAGCAACCCGTATGGCGGTACGACGCTCTGTTGAGCTACTGTGCGAACCGCGCCGATTTGTCTCAATTTTTTATGTGCGTTATTGACCAAGCTTGTTCGGTCATGAGGGCTGGATATTGGCCAGTATTCAGCCACCTTGACCGAACAAGCTTGGTCAGTAAAGGATTTATTACACGGACGAAACGAACACTTTTTCTTGTGGAACCAACGCGGGAAATCCCGCGTAGGCAAGATGAGCCCATTCAGCCCACTTGGTTAGCCAATCAGAACGTAGGATCCCCTTCATCCTACCCGCTTGCTATACAGCTATATAATACTGAGCTATTATTATTTGGCTCATTTTTACAATGGGCCATTTTGAGGCTGAGAATGAATGACAGAGGGTTCGTCTTTTGTCAAAATGCACGATGGGTTTAAGGAATCAATCGCTTCTTTTACTACCTCCTACGAAGTTGCACCGGGAACTGGGTAAAAATTAGTCCCATAATGCAATTCGACCCAACAGCAATCCAGTCTTGAGGAGAACTTCAAAGGGGGTTCGTATCGACAATCATTCTACATTACGTTAAAAACCCACAACAATGAAAGGTAAGTAGTCAAACGTTTCTCTGTTGGATCACGCTTGTGTCAAATTCCATACAGCAGTCTCCGTCCCTTGTTCTATGTGATATGGGTAAGGACGAACCTATCAGTGCCATTCGTGCTCCTCCCCCTTAGCCAGATCTTTCCTTAGTAATAATCAATGGCTCTGTTGTGTGTATACTCCACCTTAACAGGGGTCGCAGTCATTTTAATCTTGCCCCATGATACTGCCTCGTCAGGCCTAGCTCCTGAGTCACTTCCATCAAACTCCTGCCCAGTGTTTACAAACACCGAAAAATCAGCACCATTACGCTGAGAGGACAAACAAAAAAAAACAGCATTCACCTCAACAACAGCCTTGTTACTTAGTAGCCTGAGGAAACAGCCGACATTTCACGATGACACCGACGATTTCCCCGCGAAACGACGTCTCACTGAGGAACGAGCGAGGAAATTCCATACAATTTTCAGCCAATCAGAAGCACTACCGAGATCTGGGTAGTAACGCGTCATCAGTATGCGCTCATTTCTCCGGGGCAGACGTCACTACGCGGGGAAACCAGTGGTGACCTCGGGAAATGTGGGCTATTTTCTCAGGCACGTCACTTAAGGCATTTACCTTTTGGGGAAAATAACGGTCGGGAAAAAAGTAACATTTGTGTATTTCACGGAAAATCTTTTGGTTGTCTCCAAAGCGGCGTGCAACAACAGTCTGTACGAGACTCTTAGTAAGCATGCTTCGAGAGCTGGTTTAGGCATTTTCGGGTCATTTAATAGGTCAAAATTGGAAAGGGAGGAGTACACTTGAGGACTTTTCAATCTTTTGCGGAAACTTTTCCTGGAATGTTTTGTACCATTTGAGTTTTCAACAAAAAATTCTGTTTTCAAACTGTTGGGGGAAACTTTTCCCTGGAATGTTTTGTACCATATGAGTTTTCAACAAAAAATTATGTTTTCAAACTGTTGGGGGAAACTTTTCCCTGGAATGTTTTGTACCATTTGAGTTTTCAACGAAAAATTCTGTTTTCAAACTGTTGGGAAAGTTTTCCCTGGAATGTTTTGTACCATTTGAGATTTAATTTTTTTCTGCAGGATAAAATTAATAGTAACTGTTAAACTGTGGTAAAGATGAAACACCCACCATTAGGTTAGCATTGCATATATGATGCTTTATGAGTCCTCCTCCAAGAATTATCATGCCTGTATTTTTTGCAAATACCGATATGTTATTTATTCTTTTAACATCTGTAAAAGAAATAGAATAAAATGGTTATCAGCGTAATTTTGGCCGTTTATATATCACCTAGTTTTATTAGCTAGAAGAAAAGCCTACTTAAACAAATTTAAATAGCACTGAATTTGTGCAAGAGCATTGGTTTCTTTGATAATTTCCCTTTTTTGAAGGGGGGTGAGGATAGAATGAATGGTCATCTGGCCAAAACAATTACGGACTGTATATTTCATGGCCATGCAGGCAAATAAGGATTTTATGTGATTATCAAAGAAATACGTTTTCTGTGGATTTTTAATTTAGCTCCTTCAAGTAGTGATGACAGAAGTGTTATTTTCAGTAAGTCTTGTTAAGTTAAAACAAGTTATCTTCATATGTGAAAGTATCACATTCACTAGACAAATTAAAGAAACGTCGACATGTCACAAAAATAGAGAAATGTTGTTGTTATTTACTTTCTTAGAACCACATAGAGTTGTACATAAATAATCCATTTACCTTCTACAATATCAATTACTAAACCAGGATTTTTGTAGGAATGAAAATATAATGTATCTCCTAGTGCTCCATCAGTGATGGCAGGGCTGAATACTGGAATGTTATTCTGTTGAATAATAACATGATCAAATATTAATACTCCAGACGATAACTGAGCTTTGAACGGTCTAGGAGTCAAAAGGTTAACAGAACAATGCTCTGGCAGAGCCAAGTCAAGTCAACTTTAGTTACGCAGGGTATAGTAGCCCTGTAAGCCATTGGCTGGTATCAAAAGGGGCCCCTGTGTAAATTATGACTACACAATAAAATTTTAAAAACTAAAAACTACGTTAAAACTATGTACAATGATTTTTTTAAAAAGTGATTTTATCTTATAAAAAATCACAATTTGTTTAAGATTAAGACAAATAAGAGAGTTATCGAAGTTACCTGAGTATTATATTAATACGAAAAAACTAATGGCTAAAATGAGATCTAAGAAAATTCTTAAAAATGGAAAGTGACGTAGCTTCTTTTATCGATGTGGGTAAATTATTAAAAAGAACCGCACCTGAAAATCTAAGTGTGTTTTTTCCTAAGCTTTCCTAGCATCAACTTAGGGTTCAGTAGATGAATGTTGTTCCTTTGTCTTGTCTTATAAGTGTAAATAGTGCAATTTCTAATAAAGTATGGTCAAGGGCTAAGGGGCCTCGCTTTGCGGTCCTTTGTGGGTGTCTTTTTATCTTGAAATAGAGTCCAAGGCACCCAGCAACTGAATCTTTCCGAACAAGTTGGAAATGTCTAAAATGGAATTTTGGGAATAAATGTGAAAAATCTACTTCCAAAAAACGTAGGGAAGTTAACAGAAAAAATGCCAATATCTTAGATGAATTGAACAGTTATCCAGAAATTTTTAGCCTTTCTTGAGCTATAGAAATTTCTAAGCAATATTTGTTTCTTTGAACAGATATTTAACAAAAACAGTCATTGGGTACCCCTGATAGAGTGGAGACACAATAACCAAACTGCAAGGGGGACTACAATAGCTTAATTAAGGTTTGAATAAATTGTGAGCACTTACAACAATATATTAGTGACAACTGGCCAGATAGACCAGCCTAGTTGCAAAAAGAATCGCACCATGAATCAGGAATACCGTAAAATTCCGAAAATAAGCCCCTCCATGTATAAGCCCTCCAAATGGGTAACCCAAAAACTCTTCCGTTAAATTGCCCGTCCAAATATAAGCCCCCCGGCGGGCTTGTACTTGGAAAATTGCCCTCAAATACAAAGTAAAACAAAGCAAAAACGGTAAATTTACTTTCAACTATAAGGCTAGCCCAATCAATTTAGAAACACAAATTTCCCTCTGTAAATAAGCCCCTCAAAAAGGCCCTTTGAAAAATAAAAGCCCCAGGCTTAATTTTGGAATTTTACAGTTGTAGACAGATAAGTCTATTGCTGAATATGGTATGCACAGTACACATGACAATGATAGGGTTTTTTGAAAGAAGTCTCAGAAAAAAGCCTACTTCATTCTCCAATTGATAGGTCTGGCTAGCCTACAGCTCTGACTTTGGTATTAAAGTGCCCTAAGATTGAGGCTGAGGGGAATAAGTTCTAACAAATAGTTTTATATAAAAAAACAAGGAATATTAAAAATGCAAAGACACCATGACATTTCCATGGCTCTAACGTCCTGAGTGAGGAATAACTGAATAAAATAGTGTATCTTTCACTAGCCCACTGACAAAAGGCTTTTATTCCTACACCATGCTATGGCAAGATCATTTGCCACTCGAACTTTTAAATCTGTTGACCAAAACCTATGGTGTTACTATGTTACTATTCAAGTGTAACCCATTTAACAGAACTTTTGCACAGTACTATTTATTTTGTAGGATTTTTCAAAAAGAAATTCGAACTTCCTTGTAAGTGTTTTTGTTGGCTACTATTATGAAGGAAAGGGATAAGTTTGGGTTAAATCAACTCAATTGAACCCAATTCATCTGATGAAAAAAAAAATAGCAGAAGGGAATGTGCAGAACCTGTCATCTTGGCAAAGTTGAGTTGAAGCTAAAAACAATTATTCGAACACAAACACATACTTACTCAAACACACAATTTCAAAGAAGATTTTTTTAAAGAAGCAGCCTGAAGATTGTTACTCACTTTGTAGGCCCAGTAACATACAGAGTCTGGGTGATTTATTTCTTTTCCTAACCGTGCAATAACCTTGGATGGAGTCCATTTTACTCCCTAGAGTTGCAAGATACCATTAGTGATGAAGCTTGAAGTAACTCAACATTCTACATACAATGTCGTCTGATTAGTTGCAAAAGACTACAGCAGACATTTTATTGGGAATGTTGACTGTAACTTTAACAAGTTCATCCTAAAGAAAACTCTCAATCATTTATTTTATCACAGTCTCAGATCGAAATTAACTTTTAAAACCTTCCAATAATAATATTGTTGTTGAAAGATGACAATGGAATTTTTGATGGGTTTAGTTTGTGACTCAGCCAGGTGGACTAAGTATCAGACAGAACCTTTGAAAGGCCATCCACCATTTTGGTTAGGTTTTCACTGGTAAGACATTCAGTCATAGACAGTACTTGGGTAATGATATATGGGAATTTGTGACTTGGGACAAAGAAAAGTGTCCGTTGTCCATATTAACCGCATTAATTTTAGAGAAAATTTATTTAAAATTAGGAGTGTTTGGTCAGGACAAACGAAACTGTCTGTTATAAATGAGTGTCCGTATTAAGTGGGTGTCCATAGAGTGGGGTTCCACCGTACAGTTTTAATGTATTTGCGCCCGCAATCCTAATCACCAGGTTGTTATTACCCATGTGTCACATGTATGTAGCCAGCATTCGTGTGGACTTCCATTAAGAATGAATGGAATGCACAGAATGCAATTTGATCACGCGACACTCATAATCTGATCATGCGTGTATTGACTACCTGTCACGTGAAACTTACGTGAAGTACAGTGATGAAGCAAAAGCGTTTTGACCTTCAATATTATTGTTGTCGTCTGCACTCTGTAACCTTTGGTTATTACTAGTATACTAAGCGATTTCTAGAGCAGAAAAATTGAGCAAAAGTAATTTACAATACCTGGGTATTCTGCTCCTCCAGTAGTTTGTCCCAAATTGGCAAGATCCATTCTTCAAACTTGCAGTAATTGTTGTTTGGTACAATTAAGTTGCCAATTCTGTTGATTCCTTTCTTGCGCAGTTCAGCACCACGCAATGAAAAATCACCCAAATATGAGGGGGCCATGCATTTCATAAGGTCTTCTTCAATACCTCCAGCTGTTGTAGCAATACAGTCTACCTGAAAGATGCATGCCCTCCATCACCACAAATATATGAAAAATGCAACTGGGAGACGAAGGATCTTGATGTTCAAAACAAGAAATATTATAACTACCAAGACCCTTCTTTTTTAACATGGTGTTTAGTTCAACCTTTCATTTTTTCTTTTTCATTTGCTGTTCAATTGAAGGAAAGTTATACATAAAGCTATACATAAAGTACCTTCTATATATAGCCAAGGATCTAGTAAATTCACCTATAAAATAGCTGTGCTGTATAAATGTGGATATCACACCAAAACCTTTCTTACCTACCATATTATTCTTTAGCAAGTATTTTATGGTCTCTCTAACACCACTTGATATCATGTTAGAAGTGAAGCCTACAAATATCGTACAATTATCTATCGGTCGTTCATCAGGATCGGCATGGTTAGTGGCAGCATCGTCAGTAGTAGGAAGAGGTTCAAGCTTCTTTTGGATCTAAACAGTAAAATGAACACGTGTTTCAGTGGGAGCCAGTAAATATGGATATCAAAGGGACATCCAATTGTATGTATTGTCCAGGTATTCATTATAGGTGGGCTGTCAAAATAGACGTCACGGACACAAGTTCCACTGATATTAAGACTTAAATGCAAACACCTGATAAGCCCCTGCAAAATGATGTTGTTACACAAGAAAAAGGCCACCCTCCCCTCAAAATCCTTATAGTCACCCCCACCCGCACCCCATAAATAATGAATGCTCCCTCAGACTGTTCAGTACACAATGCCAATATTTTTACCCACACAGGTATTACTTAGGGTTGTGAGTAAAAAACTATCTGTATATAGTGACATGCTGTGTTGAATCCAGCGTCCGACGTCATCATCTTTAGTGCAATGAAAAACACCATAAAACTTAGTTAGCAGTCTGTCTCCTAAAGGGTGCAAAGAAAGCCTGAGCCATACCCAGACTGGTCTTCTTAGCAGTTATGATTCTTAATTTCCGACGAGCATTCCCTTCTTGTTAATTTGGGAGTCCCCCATTCACACTGGTTTTTTATGAGCACTGCCGGCAGAATAAACAATTTTAATAGCATGATCTTTTATCCAAGCTTTCATCCCAGATATGAAATAACGACGTGACTGGGTCTTAAGAAATAAAATAATAATCTTTCTCTGACTTATCGTTACGTACAATGCTCTTACCATCTTGTTTATTTCCTCCACTGCTTTTCCAAAGTGAGTGGCCTGAAACCCCGTCCTTTTGTATGAGTCAAGCAAAGCATGATAGTCTACCCCGTCGCTAAAGTCATACCCCCTTATTTCCAGAGAATCTACGGCGACCGGTTCACTAGAAGCAAGAACTGCGTCCTTAACCAATTGAGGGAGTTCAGACATTTCCAGAAAATTATACCTCTCACTATCACAATTTACTCTAGAATACCTCTCACGTGCTCCTTGGCTCGGTCGTTTTGGTTGACTATATGGCATTCAGCCATGAAGACCTTCGTAATTCGGGCAGCGGAAAACGAACTTTAACTAGGAAGACTGGGAACTAACTACCTATTGCGGCTGCTCTCTAAAGCTTAACCGCTGAACTGAAATGAGCATTGGTGGCATCTCAGCTGAATTCAGAATGAGGAGAAGTAGACGTTTAGCAGCGAAAAAATCGTCCAAATTTTTGGAAACCGAAGGTAGTAGCCAAGAAGAAGGTTCAGATTTAAAGAATGACAACGAGAAAACTTTGTTCTCGAAAGGTCACGACTTCGTTATTGATAAAACTCCATCAAAACTTGTTACTGGTACTACAGACGACCACGTGGAGAACATTTCTCGAAGTGGTGTTATTGTAAACAATGTTGCTGCTGATGATGAGCTTTCCAGTAATGACAGCGATGATGAAGAAGATGGAAATGATGAAGATGTCAACAATCTTTTGAATTTAAGAATAACGAGTTCCCAAGAAGATGAAGGAAAGGGAGAGGACTTTATTAGCCTTTCAGATGATAAATCCAAAACAAGAGAGGAAAAAAAGATTAAGGAAAGGGAAAAAAAGAAAGGAAAAGAGTAAGTTTTGAGACTTTCAGAAAAAATAACTACAAAGTGTGGTGAATCTTTATTCACCTCTCTTAGAATGAGTGTTATATTATGCTTAAACAAGAGGAGCAAAAACAATGGCTGCTTTTATGCTAGAGAGCATTTAATGTCTGAGATGTTGAAGTTGATTGATGTAAAACTGAGACGCATAAATGTGGATGACAACGGTGAAAAAAAAAACAAAAAAAAAAAAACAGGTTATTCTCAAAAAAGACAAAACACTGACTCTTCCCAGTTATTTCTGGAGGAATTGGGCATAGGTGAATCCCAGTTTACAGTATCCCCCTTTTTTACTAGATGCATTTAACATCTGAGTTGTTAAAGTCATCTGTTGAGTGTGTCTCAACAATGTTTTTAAAAGGAGACTTAAAAGTCGTCAGGCATTAAATGCCCCTATTGTATTTACTGTCTTTATACTAGACGATGACTTTAACGTCTCAGTCGACTAAAATGTCTCTAGCAAAAAACAGCCATTGGGTCTATTTATCCTTGAGTTAAGAGATGGATGATTATCCATATACATTAATTCTCTGTGTGGACTCTTTTGGTACAAAAACATGACAATGAAACCCACTGATAATTTGCCTTGTCATTTGTCTATGTGTTATAAATCCAAGCAAACAGATGGATTATCCATCCTGAATAATAATAATAATAATAATAATAATAATAATGATAATGATGATAATAATAACAGTAATAATAAATATCCTCTTGGGATTATATATAAGGACAAACTAAACATATTGTTTATTCAGACAGATAGTGTCTGTCGGCTCCCTCCATTTTTCTAATGGACTGCTGACATACAGTGACTCAAATTTCCTGACTTTGTTAGCAACCTGCTCGGTTATTTGAGACAGAAATTTCCACCTTTTTTGGCATATCCTGCAACATCTTTTTTAACTGTCATTGAGTTAGACAACTATCAACATCCACACCATCATGAGATAGCATTGAAAATCTGTACTAGGGTTCACTCTCTGGACTCTCACTAGAACGTAAGTGAAACAAGACTTACTCATGCTTGTTTTTGGTTAATTTTGTGGCCAGTTAATCTACTAAGGATCCTTTAAAGATGGATTTCATGGTATACTGATGCCTTGGTAGCTAAGAATTTTTATTATTGTAACCCAGGGCTCGAACTTGGCGGTGGTCTACTAGCCAAATACCAGTAGATTTTGATTTTTGGCCAGTGGATTTAGCTCACTTACTAGCCATCTTGGCTAGTTAATTTTTGCCCCTGTAAACAACATAAGCCTTGAAATGTTTTCAACATTTTCCCAGTTGATCCGCACCTTCTAGTAACCTCCTATTTCATTCCCCCATTAACAACTGGCATGAATAAAAGAAAGAAAAGTAATTCTACATAAGAATAATATTCGTTAATTCGGTTTTCAGTTTCGCGTTTATTCGCTGCCATCTTGAAATTTTGTACAACCAGGGAGCATGGGCCAAGCCGTACCTATGATGCAAAGCTAGCCAAAAAAGCAAATGTCCGCCATCTTGAAATGCAAATCTACGATCACGGTCCACGCGTGATTGTCATCGATATGCAGTTTTTATTAACGTTTGATAACAACAGGATTTTTGACATTTTTATTTTATTTTATGCTGTACAGAAGTGCCTAGACTAGTAGAAACACGTTTATGGCTAGTAAAGCCTGAGCATGTACTAGCCATTTGACTATTAAGTTCAAAAGTTAAGTTCGAGCCCTGGTAACCCAAATCTCATTCTTTGATGATTGTTTTTTAAAGGGCACATCACCCCAAATTTGACAAAATTTTGATGAATTCTACATGCTTTCGCCTTTAAAGCTCTGTACTATTGGAGGGAATCAGTTAAAACTAGTGGACTCGATGCTAGGTTAAAGATAACAAAATTTGCCCATTTGAACAGCTTTGGTCACAAGGCTGTGTAGATAGTTCCCTGGGTTGAGTAAAACAACGACATATTTTGAGGCATTGTTCTTAGCTGTGCTTCACTCTGTTGTAGCTTCTGTCTTAATTCCTCTTCAACTGCTATCATCCTATTGTCCTCTTGGATAAACTGTTGACCCGCCAAAGGCTCATAAGGAATAATATTAGAACATCTTCATCTCCAGCCTCTCCACTCGCTTACGTAGTTGATTACTAATTGACTTCCTCGTGGAAGTTTTGTTGGATATTTGGTGCAAACCTGAGAATGACATTCCATTCTGAGTTGTCAGAATTGATACTTGACATGCTTTTTGTGTGAGTCATCTTATTTAGATAAGAAGATGGTGGTTCAACTGAGACTAAGCAATACAGCAGCAATGTGAATGACAAAAAAATGATAGCTGGTTTGGATTAGGAAAACAATAGTTATTCATGTGCATTCAGCATTTTTGTACATTTCCTTGTCGTCGTGGCATAACCAGGATAAGAAACTTCCTAATTTCACCTTTTGTGGAGGACATAAACACAAGACTTGAAATGATTTTCTAATTCTTTTTTTAAATCTAGCTATACATGTACAGTCCTCTAGAACATAACTCCAGAAAAATTCACCAGCATTTGACAAATTGAATGACAGAGGAAAAGAACGATGAGTATTGAAACAGAGTGGATTTACTTTTTAAGAGACCCAGTCCCACATGATGTTGAACTCTGACCAGCATGCTGGGCGTAAGGAGATTAATCCCTCAACTCTCGCCCCAGCCAAAAATATCATGGCCCAAGATGTTAATTCTACGTATTTAAAAAGTGAAAAAAACCCTGAGATTTATCTAAAGTCAAAAACAATCTGCAACATCATTCATTACAAGTGTGCTATATTTATTCTATTCTTGAACATGCTGTTTTAGTCTTGATATTTGTTTCTTACAAGAATGGAACATCAAGATCCAAGCTTCAGATTTAGACTTAAAAGAGTTTCCAGTAAAAGACGCTGTTTGCGGAACATTTCTTTCTGTCAGCTCTTCCTGTTGCCTGTACACTGTTGACTTTCTATTTGCTTATTCTAGCTTCATAGAACTCTCATCAGAGCTTCAAGTGAACATCAATACAGATGATTTATATTTCAAGTTTGACAAAAAGAACTTCAAACCTGTCTCATTTAGCAAAAGCTTTGGTGACTTTGCCTTCAAGGATAAAGAGGTAAACATAATATATTTTATTCTACTAGTTACACAGCGAAATTTTGTGTTAACAAGTTAACCTGCTTTTAGTTCCTCACTTTGAGACTAACCATTAATTTTGCAGTTCATCAAAAAGTTACATCCATCATTAAAAACAAATGGCCAGGAGATTTAAAAAAAAATATTGTTAATTTCGTCTGTTTTCTTTCAGCTTATGAAGCGAAGCGTACTAACAAGTGACTTTGAAAAGCGGCATTCTGTACCCCCCATGCATGTTCCACAGCAAGCAATCAGAAAACAAAAGAAGGTAGGATCAGGATTATTCTATTATGTTAATCTATGTTTATATCACTAAGATGGCTCAACACAGTTTAATACAGACTGTAGGTTGTGGATGGTTGAGTACCATAAAGTCCATTCATTGGGGTGTTGTATTTCAGACTTGTTGTCAGGTATTTGACTCAAGTTTGGCATGTACAAAATACATGTATTAGGTTATTACACTTTTTAGGGTTGAACGTAAGATTTCAATAATTATTGTTCCCATGACAACATGGATGTTTGAAAACAGGAGTAAAATTTTAGGTTTACATTATTGTTAGGTTATGCACAGCTTACATTTAGTAAGCTTCATTTTTTAAAAACAACTTAACCAAATTGTATCAAACAGTTTTGAAATTTGTTAGAAAATAGCTTTCATGAGAAGCTTGATTGTGTCATGAAACTCCTTTTTTCAACTTTTATTTTAGGGCTTTTATTGACTGAAGTGTTATATGGACAGGATTCGTTCCAAAATTTGTCAAATTGTTATGAGCAGATTTATAGATAGTTTTGTTTCTTTACATTGCCTTTGAAAGTCAACAGAGCAAGCACCCTGACCTTGCTTCCTATTGAGTATGCATGCTCAACATTTGAGATGTGGTTAGATCATGCAATATGTCAAGGGCAGTAAATTGCTACTGGCAGCTTCTGGACATTTTTCACAGCTTGTCCTAGCACTTTTAACAGTTTATTAGCTGCATATATTTTATGGTAAAGATGTTAAAATGTACTCTAAAGGGATAAAGCATTTCTAGAGAAACTTTGTTCAGCCACTCAACCCTTTAGGTTCCAAGAGTGACCAACATCAATTTTCTCCCAACAACATCAGCAGATCATCAAGAGTAAAGGTTATGAGAATAACTAAATTGATTACCAAAGGGAGAAGGCTTTGATCTTAAACCAAATTCTCTCAACTGTTCTTAAAAGAAATGTATGGAGATCAGTCTGGAGAATTTGTATGTGGATCTTAAGGGGGTGCTGAACGGAAAGAATTATAGTACAATACTGCCAGTAGTGTTCATGCACCAGACCTCCAGATTCTGATGTCAAACAATAGATAATGCCATGTGGAATACATTGTTGAACTTTGCCAATTAAGAACGTTGATAGCCTCTATTTTGCTCAAGAAATTTTAACTTTTTTTATTTAAACAATGATAGCAAGAGAATTCTGAATTCACTGATTGTAGGACAAAAAAAAATTAAGGGCAAACCCTACAACTGTATATTCAGAATCTGTGTGATTTTGAATTTGCTAGAAAACCAGAGGAGAGACAGCAGGACCAATGTGGTATAACTTACCAGCAACTCAGATGACTCCAGAAATAGAACAGGATATGAAGATAATGAAGATGAGAAATATCCTGGACAGAAAACGACATTATAAGAAGAATGACTCCTCAGCACTTCCCAAGTACTTCCAGGTGGGTTGCATTCAAAAGATAATTGGGAGGGGAGGGAGGAGGAATTTTTGAGAAAGCTTAGAAGATTTTCAAAGCGACCCCCCAATTCAATCCTCGCTTTTTAGAAATGATCCCCATAAACTTTACTTCAGTTGTGAAAGGGACCACCCACCCAATTGCCATGGAAACTAGGAATACTCTAGCTACAAATAGTGCCGAAGTTCATCACATACTTTATCTACAGTAGTTATGTAAGACCGATGTTTACTATTTATGGCTGTTAATGCTACGTTCGATTTCAATTCTCGCTTGTTTCCGCCTTGACCTACTTTCATGAAATTGATTTTAGATGACCCCCAGGTAATATCCCCCCAACCCAACCCTTCAAGGTTTTGAAAATGACCTCCCAGCAAAATGGCCGGTCTCCCCTCATAACTAATAAACAACCAGCCCTTGGGCTGTTCTGGTAACTAACCTTTTCACTCCCACGGCACAAATCATATCAAATTCAAGGAAACAATCAAACTCCATTTTGTGATTTTTGAAATACAATACCGTATGAAAGTACTATAGAAGAGGTGTCAATGAATTTGAATGGTTACACCATAGGATTTCAGTAAGTTAGAACTACCTGATATCCCTCTTTTTACAATAACCGAGCAATTTTTGGCGCACATATTGGAATCAAATTAAACTCTGAAATAATGGTTCAGTTTTAATAAAAATTATTCTACTACTATACCTCAGGTGAAGTGTAAGATTTTGACTTTCCATGGTGAAGATTCTGATGGAAATGAATATTATTGCAACTTGAAAAACTTGGGACAACTTTTTAAAGTTAAACACTTGTGTCATTGAAAAATGACCAAAAATCGACCAGGCTTTGTTTTCCCTGTCTTTGAATCATTACTTGATATCTTTCTGTGCTTAATGTGGATCAGGATAGATGTAATTAAGTTACTATAAAACTCCTCCCTAAGGTTCAGTGTACAATGTATCAAGGTGACATATTATTTGTCCTAGTTAAGTAGTTGCCTCCATTTGTGGCCATGGTGCAACATGACACAAAACAAAACACAATGTTTGTTTACCAAAGACACGGACAAACCGCGAACCTGCGTAGTTGTTGTTTTTGTTTCCTTTCAGCTAAGCTGGGGGAGTATACGAGATGCACGAGAAAAAGAACAAATAAACGAGTTTGAGACAAGGACCCTAATAATTTTTTTGGTCCTTCTTGCCCATAGTCCTCTACACAGCCGTTTTTTGTGCTGTCACGCAATGCTGCCTTCTTGTGGGAAGGAACCTGCGCGACGTCCCTAAAAGCAGCTGCCAAGGAGACTATCTTGCCCAATACCCTCGAAAGTCTCTTGTGCTCACTCCATTTGGCTTAAAGGGAATGGAAAGGGCCATTACACAGGCTAGTGCACCGGCCAGTTCAGGGTTTGGGTGGACGGTAAATGAAATTTGGCCTGGTAACTTTTGCTCGAGAACCACGCACAAGTCAGTCCCTTTTACTTACAAATGGCCACAAAAACCTGAAACTGGTACAAAACAATTGTTTTCAGTGAAGAAATCGGACACAAATTTACCATTTGGAACATTTTGTCTGGGAAAAAAGGACTACCTCTTCAACGTTCAGTTACTCTGGGAAGGTTGCAGTAATGTTAATTTTCAGAAACTTTTTGTAAATGGTAAACCAACACGTACCAGTGCAGTTAAATTGGTACTCTGTGGTGATGACATAAATTGTAGTTTTCAGTGTGTGAATATTTTTTCTTTAATTTTTAGATTGGCATGGTAGTTGAGGGATCTGCAGATTACTATTCCTCCCGTATCCCTAAACGTCAACGGAAGAATAACGTTATTGATGAACTGCTGTCTGACGCTGAATTTAGGAGGTATGCATTGTTCAGGTCACAAGTTTGTGTTAGAAGCTGTATTAAGATTCTTTTTGTTTACAAGAAGCCTGATCATAATATGGGCATGAAATGTCTCACAACATATGTTCATTATTACCTCTTTCGATAGTGTACAAGATATTTTAATTTGCCGTTTTCACAGTTAAATGGAGAAGCAACTACCTTTCCAGAACACGTTCTGTTTTTCCTGAAAATTGATCCGCCAAGCAAATGAGATGCTGAAAATATAAACACATAAGCCAAAATCTGTCACTCGAGCTGAAAATCCCGGCCCTTGACATAAAAAGGGGCTTTAATAGTTTCCTCAAAATGAATTAGTTTTGTGCACAATTTTTAATGGTTTATGGGGATAGTAGCTGTGCAAACTGACTACAATTTTAACAGAAAGGATAGCATATCATGTGATTTTAAAACAAGAGAGTTAGACCAGTGTAACTTTATTTTTTTTTCAGTTGCGATAAGAAATGCAAATTACTTTGGATTTTTAAAGCTCTTTAAGGAAATCCAATTTTAGTTTTAAATCAAAGTTCCTCATCACTTTTATTTTAGGAAGGCTTTTCAGAGGGGTTGAAGGGCTAACTTCGCACCTGCATTTTTGTTTTTACAAAATGTGTTCTTTAAAACCGTTATGATAACAATTGTACGAGTAATCTTATTAATTTTGTCTTCAACAGATATAACAAGAAAAAGTACCTAGAAATACAAGCTGCAAAACAGAGTGGAAAGAAAGGATTTTACAAAAAGAAGATGAACAAAAGAAAGGCAACTTGGCTAAGATCGTGAGGCCTTTTTAACACTAATTGTTTTACATATTCCTGTTATTGATAGTTTGTATTTAAAATGAAAACTGTGTAATGAATTTGATACAAGATAATTAAAAACAAAAAACAATTTATACTGAAAAGACAAAGTCCTGCTCTGGCTTTTTAGTATGCCTACTTGTAAAGCTGTTTGTTTTTTTCTATGTAAAAGTAAATGCTCAAACATGGATGGTTGGTTATCGGATAGAGCACGCCAGGGACATAACCTGGGACCAGGCTCCATACTGGGGGCAAAGGGGAAAAAACGGGGTGAGACGGCAAAAATTGGCAAGCAAAGTGAGCCGAGTGGTAAACCAGCTAGGCTTGGCTCGGCTCGCTTTGCTCTTTGCTTGCTGACTCCCTCTCCCCCTTTTCCCCCGGCCCGACTCCTTTGGCATACACGCTCTCACTTCCCCTGCCCTTCCCTGCTCCCTTACCATTACATGGTGTATATGTTGTGGTTCAATTTTATCCTTGGTTTAAATTTTACTTCCTTTTGTTTTGGGGAATGGTAATATATATGATGATAATGAGTTTGAAACAAAAGAAATTGAAATTTGAACCACAACGTATCTAAACTGCTGAAGCATCTGCAAGGAATCAAGAATTCAAATTTCGTTGTAAATCCTCCAGTGACAAATCAAAATTCTTTCTTTCCAGATATTTGCTTATTGGCTGAAACATCGCTCTACTCTAACCTCCACTGTAACCTGCAGGGAGAGGCCCTTCGATCATCGTAAAATAAGCTGGCTTTTAGGGCCTCTGCTCAAGGCTGGAGTTTTAAAATGGAATCCACCATGAAATTGACTTATTTTTTATTGTCGGTGGACAAAAACCTTGTACCAGAATAAGTTAAAGAATATTGCATTCTTTTTTTTCCATTTTTCAAGGGCTAAAGATGTAATATTAGTCACCCGTAATAACACCAAAGAAAGGGAGTGCGAGAAAATATAAAATGTCACAGGTAAAATTCTGAAAATTTCATGTGTAAGATGTCATTTTATGAAATTTGACATTTATTTTCTCCGGTTTCCATAAGAAATTTTCTTCGGTGTTGTTACAGACAGGAGCCTATCATAATAGGCTCCTGTTACAGATCACTAATTACATCGTTAGCCATTGAAAAATGTAAACAAGAATACAATATGCTTTAAATACTGGTACAAGGTTTTTGTCCGCTGAAAATTATAATTACTCAATTTCCTGATGGATTCCGTCTTAGAACTCTTTTAGGGTTATAAGAACAGTGAAACGAGGCTGAAAAATATTAACACACCATGCTCATTACTTCTCAAACTCATTAATAATTCATTAAGAAAATACAAAGGAAATTAATGTTTAATGAGTGTTTGGAAATCGGATGAAACACTGCTTAGTATTTGCATCCTTAATTTCTTCTTCAAAAATGATTTTGTTTGAGAAGAAATATCAAACATTCGACACAGCGTTTCATCACCAGATGAAAACGTTGTCAAAAATTCAATTTTCAATTTCGGTGTTTCATCTGGTGATGAAACAACAGTTTGATATATTACATGAAGACACTGTACCATATAAACGTTGATTCAATATTCATTTCCATGACAACAGTCGTAATAGACACTGACGGTCACCATATTGTTTTCTATTTGGTGTGCGTATTTTCGCTGTTTAGGAAAAAAAGGTCCCTTATTTCTCGTAGTTTTGTGTTAGTTTAAGGTCATGCCTCCGAAGAAAAAGAAGAGTGGCAAGAAGAAGAAGAAAAGTGGAAGAAAGAGCGCCAAAAAGACGCCTTCTGCGGCCCCTTCAAGTGACGTTCTCAATGAACTGTCGAAGGAATACTTTCTGATTCAGATTAGGGACTTGGAGGAAAGGCTTGCTCGCTATCAGAAAAAGTGCGACGAACTTGAACTTGCAAATCAGGATTACAGGTCACAGTTTGAACAGCAAACAACGGATAAAAAAGAAATCGTATCGTTTTTAAAGAAACAACTGGAACAAAGAGCTGATGAAATAGCCGATCTACAAGATCGGTTGATCGGATTACAACAAGCCAAAGATAGTGAGAAAGATCAATATGAAGTACAGTTAGCCACTTTAAGAACTGAGATGCAAGAAATTAAAGACCAATTAACATCGGAAAACATGGTTTTGGGAGGAAAGTTAGCTTCCTTGGAAGAATTTCGTGTACAAAAGGAAGATTTGATGGCAAAATTTGCAAAGATGGAAGAGGAATTGGAGAAACAGCAGAAAGAACATAAAGACGTGATTTACAATTTGGAAAGGAAAGCTGTGGTAGACAAAGACAGGTTTGAAAACAAAATCATTTTAGTAGACAAGTGGAGCTCCCATGTGGCCAGTCTGCACTCGCAAATCTTGTTTTTGTATGTGCATTCTCATTGTACATGCCAAAATCTAAGCAATGCACGTGTCGGAATGCCTGTTTGCAATAGGATGACACTAGTTTACTATATTATTTACACATAAAATTTACCTCTGGAAGCGTAAGATCTTGTTGAGTTCTGTTATGCTCTGCAGACTGGCCATGTGGTATGCATGAACTCTTGTATCAGTACCCACTCAGTTGTTGGACAGTTCAGTAGCCTGTATTCTTGTGTAAGGCTTGCATGCGGTCTTTCACACCTTAATATGAGAATATGTGACATCCGCTGACAGTTGGTCAATATTCTATTGGCCAATCAGAAATACTGTTTAATCCATCCGCTAGCGAAGGCAGTTTCAAAACTCTCATGGGTTTAGTGTAGGCGGGTTCTTTCTCTCTGCCTTTTTTCCCTCACCCCCTTCCCCCCTCGTTTTCTCGTCTGACCTCAATTCAGCTTTTGTGTAGCTGTATCTCTTACTTTATAAAGCACACACACACACGTGCAAAAAAAAAAAAAACAGCAAAATACACCTACTATGCAGGCTATATTTTAAGTTACAAAGCCTCCATTTTCTTTGGATTTATAGTCCTTGGTACTTTGTACTAGCCTTGATCTATAAATCGTAGAGAAAAACCTTGGATGGTAACTTACCATACACATATTTCTACACTCACACCTCAAACTCTCATTTAGTAAGGGGTGAAAAGTAAACTATTTGCCAAAATAATCTGTCACATATACCAATGACCCCACCCCAAATGTAAGGAGAGAGGTGTCCATACTTTAGTTATATTGGCAGAGTTCCATTACAGCAGATTACTAAAGAGTAATTATTTCTTGGCAAGCAACAAACAGTTATAACTTATTCTTAATAAATTATAAATGTGTTAATCAATCAAAATGTAGAATTCCATTTGACATGAAGTCTCATTATTGACCTTTTTGATTTTGATGTACTTAGACTAAAGAAAGAGATGGTGCTAAGACTGAATCAAGTGGCTGCAGAATTTAGAAAGGTATCAAACAAGCAAATGGCTGAAACCACAAAAAGAACCATCAGGGAAAATGTCTCAATCAATGCACAGCTTGCTAAGATGTCTGACAAAACCATGGAGCTCATTCAGGAAAATGATGAATTGAGAGTGAAGGAGAAGAAGATGAAACTACAGATTGATATGCTGGAGCATAATGAGAAGGAACTGGCCAAGAAAAATAGCAGCAATCAGAAGGTACATTTGCATTCATCTGAATGGTGAATGGGGTTGATAGGACAGAGTCCTTATGTTGAATTTTAGGTCAATTTGCCTTTTACTCAAAATTGGCCTTCAATTCACTTAAAGTACAAAAGTCTGGACCTTTCCTTTCTATTGCTTTTGCGTTGCCTTGGCAAAAACTTTCTGAACAACAGGGTTTTAAAAGGTGTTTACCACTGGCATTTGTTTCATGGTCCTCTAACTGAACCATTTGTCATTGTTTTTCAATCCTCTTTAGTTGAACTAGCCTAGATGTCGATCTTCATCTAAAGTCATTAAAACTCAAGTGTGCAAACTTATTTGAGTGAACGAAAAGGCACTCGCAAAACATCCAGGCAATTCTGAGTCAAACAAAAATTGGCATAAAATTCTATGTGGTTCCTTTATTTATTCTCCCAGGCCTTATTGTTGGCGAGAGAATTCTGTGAGTTAACTAGGCCTTGGTGTTAAACAAATTAATAGTACAGTCAAACTCTGTTAACATGTACCCTGAGGGGGCCCATAGAAAGTGCCTGTGTTAATGGGGTGTCCATATTTAAAAGCAGATTGAATCAGGGTTGTCAAAAGTATCTGTAGCTGCCAGCGAAAATCACCGCCTACTAGGCGGATGGCATTTTTTAAATAACATATCAAAATCACCGCCTACTGAAAAAGGTTAGTATTGGCCTGCTAACATCTGCTTTGGCATTTCAGAAAATGTTTTTTTACGGATGGCATGATTTTTAAATAACATATCCCTGGACTGCTTAAAATAGTTTTAAAATTTTTTCTTTCAGATAGAATCGTTCATTAGGCACAGTTTTTAGGAGAAACTGTCAATACTTTTCTGACAGGCTAAAAGCGCGGCAGGCGACGCGAGTAGTAATTTATTTTGTAGAAAACAGAACTATGACAACTCAGCCGTCTGCATCAAAACTTTCTGCAAACCTTGTTGAATTTAGAAATAAAATATGAGGGGTTACTTTCCCCAGGGAAAAGGAAAACTGTCCATAATAATGAGGTGTCGGGGTTCGACTGTATTGGTTGGCCTCTCTGCTTTCATTTATAAGATGTCATTTTGCAAGGAAACCAGTGGGGATGTCGCGAAATGTCAGCTGTTTTCTAAAGCTAAATATCGATACATCCACATGTATTTGACTGTTCTTGTTGAACAGTGCCACTGTGGTATCCCAGAATACAATGTAAGTCAAATGACTTATGATATAATTATGGTAGCTTACATATCACTATCTTTATGCTTTACATGTCCTAAGTCTAATGAGAATGAGATATTGATAACCTTATCAACCTGTAGAAGTTTTAAGCTCATCTCCACCCACCCTACCCATGAGCAAAATTATAACCTACGCCCTGATTGTAGTCCAAGTTTGTTTTTATGTTGCGACTTGAAATAGAGCCACCATTTTTATATTATTAGAGCATTTTACAAAGGAGTGTGTATATAGTAGATTTAACGTTCCATTATCTGGGTACTTTTAGATCATCCGTATGCTGACAGAGAAGGCTAAACAGCAGGAGGAGATGTTAGTTGAATATGATGAGAGTGAGGCACAGCAGAAAGACCTTGAAAGTGAAGTCGACTTGCTTCGAGCACAGGTGGATAGCATGAAGGATGAACTCAGAGTAAGTATCCTCATGTGTGAACAACCTGAACTAATGATGTGATCCATGGTATACCTTTTGTTCCAGCTTACTTCACTCGTGTTTGTAGAGGGAACCCCCATAGGTCCTTGTGATGATTTTACTCCTCTCAGTTGACTCATAATTATTTTTTGTCTCATACTCTTAACCTCTAAATTAAATTTGTGCCAAAGAAAACACAAAATAAGTGAAATTCCAAATTGATATTTTTTATAAACACTGATAGAAAAAAAGGTAACATGCAAAAATTCTGTCAAGGAGCTCTCATTTGAATGGTCACACTATGGGGCTGTCAACCCACCACGTCTTCAAATATTGAGAATTGATAGGGATGGGTTGATAGATGATGTCTTAGCGCACGCTACATGATGTCATTTCTGCAAAAAATAGTCGTTAGCTCCAATCGTCATGAATTTGCAATGTTTGACCTGATTGGTTTACTTCCCACCAATCACATTATTGCATTTATTGCTGTCATGGTATAATATACCATACTGGAGTATATGAGGAGATGTTGGATGTTAACAGTAAAATAGGTCAAACAATGCAAAATATTTAAAAGTTTATTGTTGGAAAGTCGAGTCTACAAATGAATGTCAAACTTCAGTGATTAAACAGGAGATTTCATATTCTAATCTGGAGATGGGGGGATACGGTGCAAAATCTTGAGTCTCCTGGATTATCCGAGAGAGTTGACAGCACTGCACCATGTGAAAATTTAAGGCTCAATAGTTAGGATTTAGAACTTACATGTAGTACTGATTCTGATAGCAAAAGAGTACTGTGTTAGCGTATGTCAAAAATGATAGTGGCTGGGCACTTCCCTGAAGAACAAGGTGCGTTTTAATGGATTTCGCACAAGGGTGAAGAACAGGTGACACAGTTTAAGGTGGGTGGGGAGTACAAGAAAAAAATGGATCCACCCAAATGTTGAACTTTGCAGTCGAGTGTGAAAATGAAAAGTAATGCTTGATTTCCATGCTACTAGTCACAAGTAAACACGAGTCTAATTTTCTGTTTACCAATTATTATTTGCAGAACACAACAGACACAAAGGAGTCTTTAGAGAATGAACTTGCTAAAGTAACAAAGGACAGAGATCTGTCTATGAAGAAAAAAGATGAACTAGCTGGGATTCTATCTCAGGCTGCACAGGCTCTTAGGGCTTCATTAGCTGTAAGCTACTTCTTTTCTTTTTTATGAGCAATCCTAGGCAGGTTCCCCTTCCTTTCCATTCTCAGACAATGGAGAACTTATGCTCTTATCATTCTTAAACTTTTGACTGTTGTCGGAGGTGACATTGTGGACGTTTTGTCCTCTGCTCTTCTTTGGGACACATTGTGCCTTTAAGTTGGTATTAAGAGAAGTAATTTTTATGGTTATTGTCTAGTATGGTTCAGGGGCACCCAACGAGACTATAGTTCAAAACCACTTAAACATAGCACTATTGAACGTATTTTAGTATTTAAATGGTATTTCCTAGCTGAAAGTCTAGTGATGCAAAAATTATGGGGATCAAAACTTACCTTTTCGAAAATTTCAGCCAGAAAAAAGGCTCCTGAAAATTCCAGGTGACCTTTTTAGGGTAAAAATCCGTTAAAAATAGGCAATTATACCATTTTTTAGATGTTCGAAAATCCTAAAAGAGGCAGGCATGCAAGAAATTTTACAACAAATGTTCCAAAAATGCTAGATCTCAAGTTGTCTTCTGAACAGCTATTTTCCAAAAATTGTCGTTGGGTGCCCCTGATGGTTGAAGAGTGGTAGAACCTAGTGATAGTGCTGTTAGTTGTAAGTTAATGTATAAAGTTTAGGCCTAGATCTTAGCATTTCAAAGAAATATTTCTGAAAGTTTTATTTGTGAAAATAATAAAAATCAATGGCCTAAACTGTAGCCTGGAACATGTAAGGGTCAGTTATTAAAACAGTGTTATAAAACAGTGTCTAAACCAGAACACTGTTCTAAGGCATTTAAAATTTGGCCAATCCTTACCGCTATAAACATCGTTTGCTGTTTACAGTGTCAGGTAGGCTTACAGCCCAGACTAAAAACAAATTCAGCTTTGCTGAATTTTAAATCGTGTTTGAATAAATACTATTATTATTACCGGTACCCTCATGAAATCAACACCTTACAAACCGATTTAGAGGCCTGCTAATTGGCTTAAATGCCTACTAAGTGAGACCCCTATTATAATAACCATCATTGAGTGCCTTGCTATGCATTCCTCTAGCCCCCCACAATCGTCCAAGGAAAGCCTGATGAAGCGGAAGCCGTATCTCAGCGGGAAAACCTTGTCCAGACTCTCCTGGGAATATTGAATGATGCCGCAAAATTTGGCGTAGGACCCAGTGCTAAAGATTTTGTAGCAGCTCCAGAGATCAGAGGGTATTCAAGTCCCAGCCCCGATATAGGCAGATACGTTTATAAAAAGAAACAGTAAGTTATTTCCTTTTGTTATCTGTATTTCAACTGGTTAAATTTTCGGCTAAGTATGCTCAAGACCAGTGAACTTCGAACTGTGAAGTCTTGTAAGGACCACCGGACTTTGGTGTTGATCAGGATTAGCAATGTAAAGTATATGTCGAAAAAAAACCCTTTAAATTACCCATCCACAGCTGTTCAATGAGACTTGTCTTAAGTTGAAAGGTTTAGACGTTTGAGCCCAGGATTTGTACTTGTTTTTGAATTGTCTTAAAAGTTTTGACAAGGTTGAACAGGACTGTAAACGACTTCTAATCTCAGACCTCAAGAACTACTTCATTGCTGTTTGCGGAATATAAAATGCGTAACGAGATACTGAAACTTACAGATACTGCAAATGAAAAAGACATACGAGTTCATTGTTCCGAGAAATGTCTTTCTTTACGCACAAATTTTGTGTAGTTGTGTGTGTTTTGTTTCTCCTTTCTCGATCTTTTAAGAAAGAGACCGATTACTTGTTATTTTCTTGTTCAAGAGCAATTCTAATTCTTTCATAACCGTTTTTCTAGGACGCCTACTTCAAAGTCCCAGGCCGTGGCAGCTGCAGTAAACCGTCCTTTACCCCATTACAGGCTGGGAGATCTGGGAATAGTTCCCAGATCCCACCCAAAGCTTGGAGAAAGACCAAGAGCCACTTCACCACTGGCTCCAATCAGCAAACAAACGAGAAGTATTGGTGTACAAACTGTTAGCGCTCAAAAGGTGAGTGGTACACCTTCGTTTCTGGGGTCATACTTGTGTTTTGGGACCTTTTGCTGTCATGGTCCAGAAAACAAAAGGGCGCCACCCTTTTGTGGATGGCCTTATCTCTTACTGAGGTTTTAAAAGTATCACCGAGCCTTGTTTGGAAAAGCGAGAAACGTGGTTTCAGATTTTGACAAACAAGACAATACCTGAGAAATATTTTTTTAGTCAGTGCCACTGGTAGCCTGCGTCGCAGATGTAATTTAAACTCAGTAACGTCTGCCCCGAAGCAGCCCTGACAACCTTGTCTTGGACCCCCAGCGAACTCAACGAAAACCGGAAGTGCGTTTTGAATTTCCCTTCATCTTGATTGGTAAATCGACAATGGGTTTGTTAACTGTCCAATCATAGCTCGTACTTAAATCCTGGTAAATAGGTGGGGGCACAACAAGAATTTCGGCGCTGTTTCGCAGACCAACTTAACCAGAGTTTAGTTTCGTCTGCATGTGACGTAGGCTATGACAGAGGCGGCTCGGAAGGAAAAATCCGATTACTCCCAACGGGAGCTGAACCTGTGACCTTCTGGTAACTAGTGTAGATGCTCTACCACTGAGCTAAGGGAGACTTGTGGGAGCTATTTAAGTTAAGGCCACAAAAATAGGTTCATGTGACAAACATCCTGCATACTGTTAGGAGTGGAATGTTGATTTGGGCTTATTATGCGCAAACAAAAATGGATATGTGGTGGTGACGTTTAAGCCTGGTGAATACATGAGAAAGACAATAACTTTCTTTAAAATTGCAGTGAGTTGTTTGCTTGCTTGTTTCTTTAAGTGTCAGAATTGTCAAAGTCACAATTTTTTTAGGAGACTCGCCTTCAGGGCTTGTGAATGTTGGATTAAGACTATTAGCACTATGGATTTTATATTGGCTCATCTAAGAAACGTCATGTCTTTCTGTTTTTGTAGGCCATGTTTTTCGCTGACCAGCTACTTTCCAAGCGGAGTCCGACATCTTCTGCTCATAAGCTATCACATGACTACCATTCGCCAATCAGAACAGAGCTCCCTGTTGGAAATGGTTCGCGCGGAAGAATACCATAACCATTTCAAAACTTTCCTCTTATGGTTAAAGCTCTGTAACAATGTTGTATATCAATGCAAGTTATATATGTGGGGCATAAATTCTTTTTTTAATATTTGAAATCAAGGGATTTATTTTGTGTTGATCGGAAAACTATGCATCCAAACAGCTCTGTGGAGTCAAAGTTTTCTACGAGCTTAACAATATTATATGTTAAGAATTGAGTCAAATAACGACATCAACGTACACTTCGGTACATACGCGTTCTCTGGAAACTCCTTCATTATGGAGTAAAGCTATAATAATCTGCGATCGCAATATATAACTCTTTTAATTTTTATGAGTTAAGGTACTGTTTTGGTTGTTGACTTAGCGTTTTATTTGCGGAGTAACTATTCCTCAAGAAGGTGGCAAGACAGCGAAAGCTACAAACCCAAAATATTCATCCGTTTTTGTCATCGTATTGTGAAATTTTTTATAAAAAGTGAAAGACATTTTGGTTTGTAGAGAGAACTCTGTAAATGTTAACGTCAAATCTGGGGTATATGTTGTCATGAATAGCCTGTCAAAAACCGTAGTTTCTTCAGCTTTATCTTCAACATTTTTAGTTTGATAACTTTCTATATTTTTAGCACATCTCTCTATACGATTTGTGGCTAAGAATTTATTGGAATAAGTGTTGGTGTTTGTATGTATAATGCAGGATTTACGTTGTAGTCCAAGTCGCTGTAAATAGAACTAACACATCCTCTAGTTTTGTATATACCTGTGTAAGTATTGTTGTGCATTAAAAATAACGTTATTTTAATGACTTTTTACATCACTTTTATAATTGTGGAGTTACGCCGTTTTCAGTGAACCCTAGGGGTCAGGCCCAAGTATACAAAGTATCTTCGTAAAAGAGGCAGTCTTATTTTGTAGGAAAGAGTGAAATTTGTTATTGAAGTTTGTTATCTTTGGGACGGGCAGATCTTTCCTTAATTTAGAGAGGTGTCCGTAAAACATTACCCTCTTCACTCACACAGTGATTAGGTGCCGTCTAACTTTTGAGTCTGCAGATCATGAAATCCTATGGTATTGCCATTCAAAACATAATTCTCCGCTACAGGAGTAATTTCACTTGATACTTGTGTCCGAGGCATTTCGCAAAGTGAATTTGGAAATTTTGATGGCCCAAAGAGAATTTATGAGTTGTCATGACAATTAATAATGGTTAATCGAGGCGAAATATGCCGAGAGAGAGAGACTGCTCGCACGAAGTGAAATTAGTGAAAAATGCGGTAAAATGAATATTGTTGACAGTGACTGACGTTTCCACAACCTGTGCGGTAGTCACCTTCAGAGTCAAAAGATGACTACCGCACAGGTTGTCGAAACGTCAGTCACTGTCAACAATAACAGTCCTATTCAGGACTAGTTCACCCGGACGGTCAAACTCAACCTACTTTAATTTAAAATGAATATTGCGTCTCAAGTTAAATTAGTACTATATCGCTCAGGAAATTTGCTATTATCATTACACGCGGTTCAGATCAGAGACTCGAATTCTCACTTATTAAGGAGTTCTGCTAACTGTGCTAAACATATACTAGTGCGATCGTTTTTTTGGTGTATCGCTCTCTGAGACCAAAAAGAGCACTAGCACGGGAATCGTACAAAGTGGTTCTGCACAAAACCAGAGGAAAGATTGCTGATACTTGCTGCAGTACTCTGAATTTCTTTAGCAGCGTGCAGATCTATGGTAGTTTCTAGTCTCGGTTGCGATCAACGTTCATAATAATAATAATAATAATAAATTTATAACGCGCCTTTTCCATGCAAATATGATCAAAAGCGCGAATAACACGCCAACTGCCTTTTGTATTTCATTCCCCTAAGAAGACCCATATCTAAGTATAGCCGGTGACCTCAACAGGAGTTTATATCAGGGGCTTATATACGCATAAAATCGCCGGACACTCTTGATGTTTACAGGGTGCTTAAGCTCATTGCTTATGATTCATTTCAGGCACGGTTGCCGGCGAAGTCTGTAGGCTGCCCGTGAAATCTGCTTGTGAACTATGGGACTTGTTTAACGGACAGAGTTAAAGTCGGCGCCCTTCGCCTCTGATCTAAGCTTTAGGTTCCCATATCATATCTTCAAACTCTACTGACCGTGACTTTAATTTTGTATGGCACTGAACCGTTAGTTGTCGTGCGGGCAGAGGTGAATCTAGCCTGCGAGTAAGCTCTCCCGGGCGCTCTTAGTGGCGGGGCTTCTTTTTCCCTCCCCGCCTGCCATGCCAGAGCTCCCCGGAGAGCTTGCTCGCAGGCTAAGGTGAATCTCAGCAGCGGTGTCTCGCAGGCGCTTGGAAGTAGTGGGCACAAGAAAAAACGGGCGCGCGAGAAGGAGACACGCGACACCCCTCGCCCGTTCTCTCTTTCGCCCACTACTTCCAAGCGCCTGCTACTCCGGCAGCACTAAAACGTAGAATCCGGAATCCGGAAACGGATACGGAATCACGGAAACGGAATACGGAATCCGTGAAAGAAGGTTCCAAGTGATTGATTTGAAAAAAAAAATTGTTAGCAGTGACAAAAAAATAAATAAACAGATAAAAAAAAGACATAAATGAATAATTTAGGTGAGTAGAGGAGACCGCTAGTACTGCTCTATCACGGGAGACGATTCCGGTGAAAAGACTCTTGATACCACTTCCGGCAATAGATGCAATTCTCATGGGACGGCAAAGCGGGGACAAAAACGTCACTGACAAAAGCTAATTCCTTAAGAAAAAGGTAAGTTATATGGAGACAGACTTCGTTTAAAACTACTGAGGCGTCGTTTACATAACTGAAAGGCGTCGCCGTCAAGTTTTTCCTGAGTGTCTTTTCTGGGTTGTCTTCAACGGTGTTCAGATTTATTTATCAAGACAACTTACTCAAGAGAGCCATGGCATTGTGGAGTCCAAATAGAAGAGAGAATTGTGCATGCATTTGCTTCATTCCGCAACTGATTACATCAAAATAATGCGCCATGTTTAATAAGCCTCTCAGTCAACAAAAATACGAACGTCAACTTAAACTCAATTACCGGTACACCAGTATCCATCAGTATTCAGCTTGGCGAAAAAGATGAACTTACTGCTAAAACACCGGAACTGTGATCACGTCAAGGGTCGGCCATGCGTTGAGTATTCAGTTTGGGGACAATCACGTGGTTAGGTCTGAAGCCAACTACTACTATTCTTGACATTTAGCTACAGAGGTAAAATTTAACTGTATTATTCAACCCATAAATTCGTGAAAAAAAATTACTCGTAAATGTACTTTCATCGGCCTTGCAGTGCAATAACCACACTACGGCAAATCTTATCAAGACACAATAACAAGAATATATTTAAGGGAACTGCCAAGAAAACTAAAACAAATTCTCTTTGGATTGTACTAAGTTATTGTTTAGTTTTCTATCATTGATATGGATATTTGATTCCGTATTCCGTTTCCGTTTCCGTTTCCGTTTCGTGATTCCGTTTCCGTTTCCGGATTCCATGTTTTAGTGCTGCCGCTGCTACGCAGGTAGCCTCCCACGCAGGCGTTTTTAGGGGAGCTCGTATTTCTTTCTTCTGGAGAGGGAAGAAATACGAGCTCCCCTAAAAACGCCTGCGTGGGAGGCTACTACGCCGGCTACATGTCAACATTTAGACTAGCCGGGCGCGCGAGAAGGAGACACGCGACACCCCTCGCGCGCTCCCGTTCTTTCTTTCGCCCACTACTTCCAAGCGCCTGCTATGCAGACATGTCAATTTAGACTAGCTCTGGGTCATCCCTGTCTCATGATATTATGTCAAGTTCTAATGACTGTTTCATGTTTCAGATGTTTGTCTTTTAAGACAGCCCTGCTGTTAAATGAAATTAAAACAATTGCACAAATTGATTTCTTGGTCTCAAGAGGAACTGGTTAGCATTGCAAATTTAAATCAGTGTTAAGTCCCTTAGCTTGAAAACATCACATTCGTCTTTTCCTATACCATATCATATACCATATAGACACATGATTTTCAACAGTAACCTGAATACCCCATCAGAAGCCTTTTTTTAGGACTGACTTAGTACTCAAGCGTGATTTTTCCCCCCAGTACAAAATGGCACACCATGCCCACGACCCTCTTGATCCTAACGATTCTCTAAACAATGATGACATCTGTCTATTGTTGGAGAAACAAAGCTGTTTCACATGAATGACCTTTGCGGAGAATAAACAGACGTGACACTTTATACTGCCACTGAATTTGAAATGTTGATCCGTTGCGATGTGTTTTGAATTTCTTGATGAGCGTTCGGTTGTCTTGGTGCCTGTTAATTTTATAAGCTTCATTTAACTTTAAACCCGCATGAAGACTAACGACGTACATTTTAGACTAAAATTACTATGGAAAATACCAGCACATCTAAAGAAACGGCCGAAGATTTGTTTTTCAAGTTCATGGACGCTGAAGACTGTCCCGAAATCACACACACGTTCCGTCGGCTGGTAAAACTTCTCGGAATCAAAACCGAAAACCCGCGAGAGTTCTATTCGTTACTAAAAGGCAAACTCCAGTCCTGGAGGTGCAAATCTCTTTGGGAACTGCTCGACTGTCGTGCTAACCAGAAGGAATATGGCAAAGGGAAAATTTGCGAAGACACTCAAGTGTTAGTAATCGGTGCAGGCCCAATCGGGTTGAGGACAGCAATTGAAGTTGCTTTGTTGGGCTCACAAGTTGTGATTGTGGAGAAAAGAGAATCATTCACGCGAAATAATGTTTTACACTTGTGGCCCTTTCTACTCACCGACTTTCGGTCGCTCGGAGCAAAAAAATTCTACGGGAAGTTCTGTTCTGGGTCTATTGATCACATCAGTAAGTATGTTTAAAGTGCTTATATTGCATTTTGTGTTTTCGCAGGTTTATCGTATTTTCTTACAAACCTAAGACTTGATTGACAGACGTATCTGTAAATTAATTGATTTAAAGGCGAATACTAGCTAATTTGTCCAGTGTTTTTATGTCTTCATCCATCTCGCCTTGAAATAAGATTGTTGAGGGCAATATGATGATACAATATCATTTCCTTTCGGCGTCGACTGAAAATATTATTATCTATCATATGTTTTGAAAGTATACAGCCTTTTATGCTAAAGCGTTTGTGTCTCCCAAACAATTTATTCCTGCTTATTGTAGTCACTGTGCTAAACAAAGCCCAAACATACTTTTAGAATAGTCCGGTGACAATTTATGCTAGAATCGTCAACTCATAAAATCGTTATGAAGCAATACAGTCAGTCACGTATTTGTTCCTCGAATATCTTTGGAATTGGATCTTTAACATGGCTTTTAAGGTGAAGTGTATAAAATTCGCGCTCTTAATTGTAAGGCATATCTCAGCGAATCTCGTTAAGCAATTCGATAAGCGTTTTTAATCCCTGATAACATAATTTTGTATTGTAGCTATGTCAGTATTGTTTATCATACCGTTGTGAATACCAAAACATTCTTATTTTAAATGGGATTTGTGTTGTAGACTGAAAGTTATATCAGATTTAAACATAACAAATATTTATAGTTTGTGAGGGTACAGCATCAGAGTGTTGGTCTAAATCCGTCTTACAACTTCCTCATCTCCCGGCCAACTTTTTTAACTTTCAGTCCACGAGCGATTACTGACCTTAAGTGCCGTAGTCTTATTGAGAGTTTATCATCTTTTGCTCTCTATAAAAACAGCTGTTTTGTTTTTCCTCCAACGACCGGAACGCCTGTAACATGTTATGTTATACTGGTAATTAGTAGAGAACAAAAAAAAAAAAAAAAAATAACACCAAAAAATTGAAATTGGAGTGAAGAGTGGGAACACAGAAGAAGTTCATTTTCTCGTGCATCTTTTGACCAAAAATAAAACAAAGTCAGGCGAAAATTTCGCTGAGCTTTTCATTTTTTAGTCTACAGCACTCAAAAAAATAGTTGCGGGTTTTTTTAAATATTTTAATTATCATTTATTAACAATTACAGTTTTTTACAATTAGCATATTTCATATTCATTAATGTTTTATTTTCAGTTTCCCTGACAAAAGATTATTTTCTTTTCATTTTTCATCTCATTTGTGTGTTTTGACGGTTTGCTTTTCAGTGAACAGCGTTTCACTGAACTTGCCCTTGCCATAAATATTATTCGTAATTATTCCATCAACTTTTACATTTTCTTAGAATTGGCAATGAAAACAGTCGTATTATTTTTAATTCGGGATGGTTTTTTTTACATTCATTAATTGTATCATTTTGTTTATGCTATGTTATTTATATATTATATTTAAGTCAGTTTTATGTGATCCCAGTGCAATAAAACGCAGTGAAACAAACAAAAATAAGAAAGAGGGGAGGAACAAATTGTTTCTGCACCATAAAGGCTCAATCCAAGAATGGAAATATGAGTAAAATGTTGACCAGTAACTGTAAGAGGCTCTCACTTGTAAACAAGACTGAATTTCTGATAAAAAATTAGCGAATTGTAGCCCTTATTTTTCTGCCTTACAATACATCAATAATCCTGAAACTCACATACAAAATACGGTCAATCTCAATAATCTCAAATTTTAAAGAAAATCTATCGAGCAGTTTTAAAATTATTCGCTTACTTGTTAAAGTAGACCGAAATGTTTACAAAACCGCTAACAAAAGCACCTCGATACATCTAATCGATCAATTCCTTCTTCAAGTCTAGCAATCGGCTAGAGCTGTCTCCATGATCTTTCACACACGGTTTTAAAAAGATTGAAGCTACTATGAAGTGAAATTTCATATCAAGAGCGCTTCGTTTCCTACAGGTATTAAACGGCCGAACATCAAGATTGTCCAGTTTTCACTGTATTTCTAACTATAAAAACTTCACCCCAAAATATCTCGATAGCGCTCTTACAGATTTCGCTTAAACTTCACGAACATCGAGGAGGCTATGGAGGAAAACGTTCCCGTGAACGAATTTGGAAGGACTGTTTCCCGTGCCGAGAAATATACGCCTGCAAGTAAAATAGCTAATAGCGCCCATTTCTTTGCTATGACAACTCCGATGTCATTGTAACCCTGTGGTGGTAATTTTTCCAAATCTTTGGTAATGGCGACGTAATTTACGTTCAAACTTGGGAGGTATTGACCCCTGAAAAACTCAGTCTATCGAGCCACCTTAATCAATCAGACAAAAAACAAAAGGTATCGCATTGGATATCACTAACTTTCAGGCAAGTACTGTAATTTCAAAGCCACAAACACAATGCATAGTTCATCTTTTGTATCCATTCGGTTCTATTCCAGGCATTCGTCGTCTCCAAGCCAGTCTCCTCAAAACTGCGCTCATCTTTGGTGCCAAGCTGTACACTGGCGTTACATTTGAACAAGTGGTGGAGCCGAAGTCACTGGAGGACGGATGGAAATGTCAGGTGTCGCCGGAAAACCACCCTGTCAGTTCGTTTGAATTTGACGTTCTTATTGGAGCTGATGGAAAGAAGAATGTCCTTCCTGGATTTGAACAAATTGAAATGAGAGGTGAGATCGAAATAATACTGCTCACCGGCTGCCCCTGGTCATCCACTTAAGGCGGTGGTGGGACGATCATTCCGTCTGCTCAAACCAAGCAGTCAGGCACCCGTGACGGTCTTGACGCTTACAAAGAAGTGTAAAAAGGGTGGGGGGTGGGGAGGCAGCTGGGGAAAGACGAATCACACCCCAATGAATAGGGAGCTTAAGCAACAACGTTTTTGAGGGACCCACGTCAACCGGAAGTGGCCTTTTTTCATTTTTTGACGGTGGTTTCGCGCAAATTTTCAGTCAAATCGCCTCTATAACAGTAAAGAAACTAAGGAATACAAATTTTATATCATCAAAGCATGTGAAGAGGGAAATTACCTCACTTCCGGTTGACGTGCGTCGCTCAAAAACGTCGTTGCCGCTTAAGCAACGACGACGGCGACGGCTACGAAAACGTCACTTAAAAAGTGAATTATCGCTGCTTCAAACATTATCGCGCTAATTCATCTCGATCAGTTCGTAAAATGATGGCAATTTTCACCAGTTGTAGTCGTGCAGTGATGGAAAAGAAATGGACAAAAAAGCGTGATGCACGTGCAGAGTTGTTGTTTTGCTAATCTAAGGGCCTGTTTACATGGAGGTGGGGGATCCCAGGTAGGTGAGGTAACATGTGGCGGGTAGTGATAGTTATATTTTTGAAGTGATATTTGGCATAAATTATTTTGGCGGGTCACCCCACCTATCATGTAAACGTGATCAAACTAAAATGAGAGTCATTATATTTCGGACAGGAGGGTTACCCCACCTAGGCGGGTTTCTGGGGTCTCCCACCTCGATGTAAACAGGCCCTAAGCCTCTTGCCTTTTTTTTCACCCCACCTATCATGTAAACGTGATCAAATTAAAATGAGGGTCATTATAATGTCAATTTCTTGCGATTATTTTTACTTTTTACTTCTACATAATTTTTTGTAAACAGCGCCTTTGAATCTTGTAGAAAAGGCGCTATATAAATGGATTATTATTATTATTTCGGACAGGCGGGTTACCCCACCTAAGCGGGTTTCCGGGGTCCCCCACCTCCATGTAAACAGGCCCTAAGCCTCTTGCCGTTTTGCGTTCTCCTTGACGTTACTGTCGTCATTGCTTTTAAAAGCTCCCTAGTCTGACGATACTGCAACAAGCTAGCACGCTACAGTGCGGCTGGTATGACACACGTGACCATGTTCTGATGACTGCAAAGCAGCCTCAGGAACCCGCCATCTGTTGTTAGCTTGGTTAAATTCAAACCACTGCTTTGGAATCCAACAGTTTCCCTCTTTCCTTTAATTTTTATTCATTTATTTATTTCTTTTTTGATTTTAAATAGGCACATTGGCCATTGGCATAACAGCTAACTTTGTCAATCATGGAACTGAAGAAGAAGCTAACGTACAGGAGATCAGTGGAATTGCATACCAGTTTAACCCGCAGTTTTTTGACAATTTGCTTGAACAGAAGGGAATCAAGCTGGAAAATATTGTTTACTATAAAGACGAAACACATTATTTTGTAATGACGGCTGGAAAGGCGAGCTTACTGAAAAGAGGCGCCTTAAAGGAGGTAATGTTCGAAGTTATTTGCTTTTGTCTATGTAAGGCCATTATGAAGCTCTTTATAGGCGATATCTTTTCTCCCCACTTTGTTACTGGGTCGAAGGAGGGAAGAAAGACAAAAAAAATTTTTTTTCAACTGATTTGGTTTATGTAATTCACCACTCGCTCGTCAAGCGGAGGAGTACTCGATCAGAGAACGTTTGATTTCATGCTATTTGACTGCAGCTGTCAGGTCTACTGAACTACTGGCGACCTAATTAGCTAATTTGTAGACAACGTTTACGTTTGAGCTTGTTGTTCGAGAGTTTTTCAATTAAAGCATTTTTGGTTCGTGGACTTCCTATTGCTCGTCAAAGTGGATAAAAGCTGGAATTTTACACTAAAAAGTTTCAAGAACGAAGTAATTCGGGATGGGTATTCTTGTTGTTGTTGCTACTGTTGTTTTATTTCTTTTCCCACTTCCTCTTTTTATTGTAGATGTTTTTTTTTTTTTTTTTTTTTTTTTTTTTTGTTTTTTTTTTTTACTTTAGTCCCCTGTTTTTTTTTAACACCCTCCTTTAATTAGAACAGCTACAAATTTTTTTTTCCTTACTCTCGATGTTCTAAAGAACGAAGTAATATTATAGATCATCATATTTTGTGGTTAGCAATTTATCTTCTTTAGTAACAATTTTTAAAGAGGGTTTAACCCCCCCCTTTTTTTTCCTTTTTTTTTTTCCCGCCCATTTCCTTTTTCATTTAGCTGGGAAAAATTCATCCCCATGCTTCCCCCATTTTCCACTAGAACAGCAACTGGCTTTTTAGCCACTTTCAAAGTTTTAAGAACGAAATAACGAAAGTAAACCGACATTATTGAACAAGTAAAGGTAACCAAGGAAATTTTGACTGTGTTGCTTGAAGTTGGAGTGTAAACCAAAACAGCAACTCTGGATTGGATAAAATCCAAGGTCAGCTTCAATCCCAAGCACGCCTACTTCAAAACACCACACTCAAATTAACGAAGTCATTACTGAAAAAGATCAATGTTGGCTGGCCTTGTTTAACCTTGGACTATGCCCAAGATACTTAAGACATCTCGAGACACGAGTGAAAGAATTGCGGCAATCAACTAAGAAACTTTATAACCTAACGGAAGGGACTGTGTCACGGCTTCAGGCTAGTTCATTTCGAACATAATATTAGTTAAGCGTCCTTATTCGCCATGGAACTTGAGAAATTTCTTTCCAAATGGCAAAATCACAGCTTCGTGTCAAACAGTTATGTCTCCTAAGCATAATATCAAGCATTACAAACACCAACGGCAATGAACTTTGAAAAACTGTTAGACTAACAAGTTTTCAAAATCCGCAATTGCAATACGTTTCAAGTTTATCCACACGTGCCTCCCTTTGTATTTGCAGTTGGTGTTAATACCTACACCTATCATGTTTTGAGCAGCTATTTAAGGAAATTTGCTCCAACCAATCAGAAGCACTTCCCATATTTGGTTCTTGCAGTATGGAATTTCTGCAGTCGTTCCCCAGAAGTCATTGCGCGGGGAAACCATCGGTGGTGTCGGGAAATTAAATGTCAGCTGTTTAGTCACACTAGAACTCGTAGTCCAGTCTATAGGTCACGCACAACTAAAATAACAACATTATTTTACTGTGTAAATCATAATCGGTCACTGTGTAAACATCACCATTTCGTTTCCCTACGCAGGATTTTAGTCCACCATCAAAACTTCTTGCTCCGGCGAACATCGATCAATCTAAACTGCTCGAATACGTGACTGACGTGGTTAAATACGCCACTGAAGGGACGCTGAAGAACTTAGAACTGAAGGTGTTGAGGAATAATCAACCAGACATTGCTGCTTTTGACTTCACTTCTATCAAGAAAGCTGAACATGCAGCCAGGATCATAGAGAGGAAAGGGAGTAAACTTTTAGTGGCACTTGTTGGAGACAGTTTATTGGAGGTAAGACTTATTATGAGGCTCTGGACGGGGTAACTCATGGTTACCGTAATCAATCCATTTAGGAAAGCCGGAAAGGTTGTCATCTTGTTCATGTACTGAACAAACGGCTATTGAAAGCAATTAGGCTGTTATAAAGTATAATGATACACTTTGTACAGGGCTTCCTGTGCATTTATGAAGTTGCCCATATGCACAAACGTTCGAGTTCGATGGGTTTCCCATTCTTTGGTGTTCCTGTGTAAAGGGTGTTTTTCATCACTTATCATGGTGTCAATCAACTTCGATTTTTCACCCAATTTACTACCAAGACGCACACGGACAGAAAAACGGGAGGAGCCCAACGAGGAGGCCTGACGAAAATCAAACGCTTAATTATGCCTCGCCTTATACTTTTCTTAGCTTGCTAATCGTGAAAGTAGAAACTCGTAATTATAATGTCTTATCAGTCAACCTTGTTTCCGGGGTCTTAGAAAGAAGTCTAATTCAGTCTTTGCGGTCATGGGGAATAAATTAACCTTTGAATAAACTTTATCGCCTATAGGTTTCTGATAAACACTCAGGTGGTTCTTTAAGCTGAGCATTTTAAAAGGGCAGGTTTATCCTTTGTAAGGGATGTGTTCGAGCAACTCGCTCGCTACACGATGAGGTACCAGGAATCTGCCTAACATCTTGGTCTTTATTCTTCTTTGAATTCTGCTAACAATCTTAACCTTAATCTTCTTACTCTTCTTCTCTACTCAATCCTTACTAACTAGTCAAATAGTGGCGGTTTTTATAGCCAAAGCTGGACATGTTTGGGTTAGCTGACCGTGGGAATGAAAACAATTTAAAGTCGGTGTTGGTAATGTTTTGGTTTTATTGAACGTACATGGTTGCGATCCGCAAGAAGCTACAAACCAATGAAAAACCAAAACGTTGGTTAACAAACCCAAAACAGGAACTTCGATGAGACAACGAACCAAGGTCAGCTCTAACATCACAAACACGACCACCTATTAAAAACTAACTTTTGACAATGGCAAGCGAAGAATATTCCTAAAATGGCATTAAGTAAATTCGTGAACTAAGCAAAAATTCAAGTACAAGTAAAAACACAAGATGAAAACAGGAAAACACGTGTGTGGAAAATTCAAGATTAACCTTGACCCACTTAATGAAACAAAAACGAAACTTAAAAGATGAGACAAATCTTAAAAAGTACTTTCAAAACACTTTACAACACGTTTTTTCATATTCTTTCACACACAATATACAGATAAGTCTTTCTCAGAGTTTTCAATCTTTTTTTTTTCCAGCGACCGATGCCAAATACCAATAATTTCCGCACTTGTTCGTTAATTGCATTCTCTATTTATGTTTCGTAGCCTTTTTGGCCAACAGGATCTGGATGCGCCCGCGGTGTTTTAAGTGCACTAGATGCGGCATGGATGATCCGTTCATTTGCACAGGACAAACCCCCACTTCAAATTCTCAGCGAGCGAGAAAATATCTATCGCTTGCTGTCTGGTACAAGCGCTGAGAATCTGCACAAAGATCACGGCAAATACACCATTAACCCGAGCACGCGGTATCTGCACATTACACACAAGAAGATTCGAGAAGTGTATCATCTGTATGACACGGATGACGCGGTTAACGCTGATTTCAGCATCGGTAGCCCACAGACGGCCGTCAACAACAAAGGTAACAAAGCCCCTTTTCCTATCATCTATATATATAAATGTCCTGTTAAAACAACACTCTAGAAACGAGAAGGGAATTGGAACCGAAATGCATCCCGCAATTGTTTCTGGGATAGTTACTGGGTACCCACTGGTTAGCTATTGGCCATTTTTTTTCCTGTTCCTAGTAACAGTCCCAGAAGTCTTTGGGCAAGTTAACTGGGCCCAGTTTCCCCCTCGTTTTTTAATAAACAGGTGAACGGCAATTTCAAGAAAAGTAGAAGGACGCCCGAAAATGATATTCACTTCTCACTCTCCGTTTTTTTATGACAGTAACGCTAGATAGTTTGTGACTCCCGTCATTGATGTATCTTGTGGATTTGCTGACTTCCTACTTTTTTCTTGCGACCACGTTTTACTTGACATTCTTTGCAACACCTACTTCAAGCGGACGGAAGGATATGAACGCAATGTTTTTGTTAAAGTGATATGTTGTACACGAGCTTTTGAAGCTGTTTATAAAATTCGCAACGATTCAAGTGCGCCGAAAATCTTCATGTCTCATACAGTACAAAAACTTTAGTCAGCTTCTCTGTTGGAATTCTCTCCTTTGTGGCAAGCTTTAAGGAGAAGGTAGCGGCAAAAAACGAGAACGGGAAAAGACAGAGTGACTTTTTCTGGTACAGGGTGCAAAGAAAATAATTTTTACAGCTTGCCATTCGGGCAAGCTGAAGCTAGCATTTACTAGCCCAGACGTCATTTCAACTAGCCCCAAAAACGTTTTGAGTAGCAGAATTGATGTCACAGTTTTTCTGTTATTCGAATTCCTCAAAAAACATTACTTGCCCGTCGGGCAAGTTAAAAACAGAATTCACTAGCCCGATAGCAAAATCCACTAGCCCCGGGCTATCGGACACTACTTTCTTTGCACGCTGTGGTAGCACCTCTTTCGTTTTTGTATTCGCTATCCCCCCCCTCCCCACCCTCCTCTTCCGCTCCCTTTAATCTTCCCTTATCACGCAGACAAGGGACATCCCTATTTGTTTTATCGATCGCTTGCCACTTAAACATAGGTTTCCTCAGCTCCAACGCGAGTTTTAAAGCACAATTTTGTAATTGCTCTCTTTTTTTAAAAGCGTCTCGTCGTAGGAGAATCAGCACAGGGGCAAAGCTTACATCGTCGAAAGGTCGCAAGCGGGGTAGAGCGAATCTGGCTTTGGATCATGAGGAGAGTAGAATAAGATCAACTTCAGGGTCCAGTGTGGAAAATCTGGTTTCACACAAACCACTCTCGTCCACGCGGTCTGTACCCCTTGACAGTGCTTTAACAGCTAGTTCGGCGCCGAGTGATGACGAGGTTTTTGAAAAGGAACCCAGGCAGGTACGGATAGGTAGTCCAAAGACAGTACGGGGAAGAAAATCTACAGTTGGAAGTTCAGGTGATGAAATAAAAGGTAAAAGAAAAAAGGGAGGAAGAAAGAGAACAATGGCGAAAGAGAATTTGGACATTCCAAAGGAAGAGAAACGGAAGAAAGGATTCTTTGGGTTTGGGAAGAGCAAGCCGAAACGCAAGGTAGCTGAAGATTCAGATCATTATTCCGATAAAGACGTGAAACTTGTTAAAGTGAGGCATAAGGAAGACGAGAAGCAATCTGAGACACGTCCAAATTTTGTCAGGGACGATTCTTGGAATAGGAATCGCGTGGGATCATTTTCGAGAGAGCAGTACACACGTAGGTCGACTCGGGATATCATCAGAGAAATGGAAGCAAGATCTAAAGGCGAGGTCATTGGCAATGGCATGACAAGTGACAGAGGAAATGCAGGCAAGCCTTTTGACTCAAAATTGAGAGAGAAAGAGGAAGAAATGAAAACCGAGAACAAGAAACGTGAAGAAGAGGCGAAGTTGAAGAAAGACGAGGAGAAAAAGAAGCATAGGGCGGAGGAAAAGAAACGGAAGGAAGAAGAAAAAAGGAAGAAGGACGAGGAGAAAAGGAAACACGAAGAGGAGAAGAAGAAAAAGGAAGAAAATGAGAAGGCAAGGAAAAAACACGAGGATGACATAAAGAGAAGAGAACATGTGAACAATCTCCATAATAAAGCGCAAACTACGCCAGCAAACAAGAAATCCAAGAAACAGAGCTTGCTGGACGAAATAGCAAAGTAAGTGTTAGCCTGCGAGCATGCTCTCCATTTGCTTCACCACGTATAGCACTTGTTCTCTCGCGGTTTGCTTCGCTTGCCATAATTATAATGAAGCTTGCTCGCCGGCTTAGTAGGTTAGAAGGTGTGAATACTTAAAAATCAGTTCAGAGCACTTCTCTCGCGCACACACCGAAAGAGAAAAATCCTTTGTATAGTGTGAAAAAATGGACCTCAAGCAAGTGGATGTGGCACACGGGTTTCCACTGATAGCTATTTCTTTTATGGCGAATCGAAGAAGAGACTTTTTATTTTTGCTCGCAGCTGAAAACATTAGAAGCATATCGCATGTGAAGCGTTGCAGTTGTTGTAGAGTTATTAACAAAATTTACTTTTTGTCAATAGGATATCACCCTCAGCTAAACGAGCCATGCCAGTACTTTCCAAACTCAGCCCTGAATCAGACAAGGAAAATGAAAAGATGCACGATCGTAGTGTGACGTCAGCTGTTCGAGACGCTGCCATGTTGCTAATGGCAACACCGCTTTTGATTGACGGGCTAATGCCCAAGAAAGGCCTGGACCGAGCAGGATCATGGGTAAGAAATAACTAAGGTCTAAGGTCATTTCTTCGAGGAGAATGACAGGCCCTTTCTTAAATCCTTCTAGTGGAAGCTTAACTGTCTAGCGGAACAATTCCACAAGAAACGATTGCTAGCTTGACTGGGCCTCTACGTTATGCCATTATTCCCTTTTACTGCTGTAAACTAACTAAAGGTACATTTGATATACTGAGTGCTGTTTTTGTCATTGACAAGACATATCAGACTTTCCCTTTAAGTTTGTTTTAGGTCTTATTGTAAAAAGTGTTTGATTCTGTGATAATTATGACCTGTTCCTTTTAACCTTCTTGTTGCAGCTTGGAAGAGGTAGCGGTCGCGTTCGTGATGTGATTCAGCGTTATAATACCTTGACCGACATGAAAAGCCAGATAAGCAACATGAATGGAGACCTAACGCCGTTGAAAAGACCACGTGACAGGTAAAGACCTATTTATAGATAAGTGGATCCTCTTTTGACAGTCAGCCAGAGACTTTAAAGTTCTTGCTCCTCAGTGTGGGGTGGGGGCTAAGAATAAAGCATAGCTCCCTGTGTTATCGTGTAATCCGTCACTCAGTTCGACGAACAGAGTGACGGAAGTTTTGCGAAATCTTTTGTTAACCAGTTTTAGTAAGTGACTGAAATTCTACCCACAGGTGGCGTAAGATAACTTGATGTAGGCGTTTAGCTTGTACACCTGAGGAAAAACGATTAAGAAAATATTTGCAAACAGAAAAAAGATGAGAGTCTGAAGAAGGGGCAAAATCTTTTCGTCTCACTCTTTTGTGGAGTAAACCTTGCGCATAATTTCAAAAGAGCGTGAACTAGGCCAAATTTTCAAAATGGAAAGCGTCAACAAGTTAGCAGGAACAGAACGAATACTTAGGCATTTTGACCATTAAAGTGTAGGCTTATTGTCACGTACCATTCTCATTACTATCATGCTTTTTCTTGTAGCGTTGATGGTCCTGAAGGAAGACCGCGTAATCTTAACAGCAACAGTGAGGGACAAGATGGGAAAGTAAGCGATTCTACTGACCTGAAACAGACTCTACCATTGCAGCTGAAGACTGAAGAAGAGAAAAATTTGAGAAGTTCACCTTCATTGGAAAGATTAAAGTTCCAGGTACGAAAATATGTATTTCAAAACATCCTTTAAATTATTTGAGTAATTCCACTTGTCATGTTTGATACGGTAATCTATAGAAGTAACATGAAAATAATAAAAATAAAATTCATTAAATAAATAAACACAAAATAGACCCCTGCAGTTCAGTTTTGTTTCATATGCTTTTCTTTTAAATTTTTAAGTTGCAGGGCTATAAAGACAATACGGTCTGCGCTGAAAAAGAGCCTTCTTCCCCGAATGAAAAACCAACTGTAGACTTTAGTTCTCCCATTTGGCAAAAAACACCCATTGCAGCCATGGTAGAGGCTAATAAGGAAAATGACAAAGAGCCAAGTGAACCCCTGAAAATTTTAAAAGAAAAAGAGCAGGTATGGAAAATATATACGTCAATTTTTTTCATTGCAGATGAAAAGCGCTGCCATGCAAGGTGTAGCTTTCGTTGTAGCCTCCCAGGTAAACATTTTTTGGGCGTCGTCAAGTGTTGCTCCTCCATGCTCGTGGGGGAGGAACGTTTGACGAAGCACTGTCTCTCAGTACTCACTGGTTTAATTTTCTCGCGCTCGCTTCAGTTCTCTTTCTGCCCATAGCCTGCAACATGGGCTGATCTAGGGGGAGGGTGCAGGGGGTGCGCACCCGTCCCCATCCCCCCCGAGATGACCTGCGGCTTTCTAATACAACTGCTGTTCTGCAAAATATGCCATATGTATGATATGTATTCTCAGCAGTTCACATTATGTTATTGCCTAGTCAAAAGCCTTCTTCTTCGTATTCGCTTTTAACGTTTGTTTACGTCACCAGTCAGTTACGTCATTCCTTTGTGGTTCACCACCTCCCAAGAGAAATCCTGGGTCCGCCCCTGTGCAACAGACTGAAATATTTTTGGCAGTGCATGCACACGTACAATTTTTAACCGAGCCAAATCAAATTTCTTTTCTGTGAAGATGAATGACAGGATTTTCCAATTGTTCATTTTGAAGGAGACAGGCAAGGAACGCCCAGCTATTAAATCGTCTCGCCGCTCATCCGTGACATTGTCGACAGAACTGCTGGAGGAAGAATTAACGAATCTACTGAACGACACTACAGCCCAAAGAGCTTGGGAATCTATCAAGTACATGATAGGTATTTTCAGGTGAGACACGTCTTTGCTAATTTGACGGATACCTTTTTGGAGCTTGAAATAATGAACAATATATGAAAATATTATATAGGAACTGTGGACCATTGCACTACTGCGATGATCTATTTTCATTTAATTATTTATCCAGCCGCTCCTACATATGATTTTTCATACATTGTAGCTAAGATTATTTAGTGATATTCATCTCATTTCTTGAATAATACCTTGAAGCACCTATGTCTCCAAAGAGGATCCTGAATGTTCAAAAATCTTATTTGCTCAAGAGTGTACAGAATTTTTTTTATAGCTTTTAGAAAGTAAGAACCTTTTTCAAATTTTAGGCTAAACAGGATCTTGTATAGAGGAGACCTAGCTGGCAAATTTCAGCCTAACAGGAATTGTTTATGTTATGACAATATTATTTAAATCAGCAAAGTATTGGGAATTGAATAATGTACTATCACTCTCGCTTTGGCTTTAATAGGAACCCATTTTTATTAAATCCACTGAAATGAGTAATTTTGTACTAGTGCTAATGGTTACCACAGCAACCAAGTGTATTTTGGTCAGTGATGTCATCATTTTATATTCACAGACAAATACAAAAGCATCCAAATGAGGAAAAGTATTACAGGATATTTAATAGGAGAGTGAAGTTCAGAAAACACGTGTGGACAATGAGAAACGCCAAATCCTTCATGACGGCATGCGGCTGGACGGAGGTAACTAAATAACCTGAAATGATTGTGGATAGGTCAGCCTGCTACTGAAATCTGAGAGAGTGTAGTATATGTATCCCTTCATTTTATTTAGCACTGGTCACGGGCCAGGTTTTCGCAACCTGGATAGTTAACAATTAATGAATGAGGCTGAGCATCTTTTGAAGAATTATGGAGATCGAGGAGGGTGTTATCCGTCGAGGCCGTAGGCCGAGGCGGATAACACCCTCCGAGATCTCCATAATTCTTTATATGATACGAAAGCCGAATTCAATAATTGTTTTATCATTCATTCAAAATAATTCCTAGTTTAAAAACATAGCTAAAACAAGCTTACCAGCTTACCTGCATCGATGTTAAGTTTATCTTCGATAGTTTGCGTTTAGGTTTGTCCAGCTCCGCAAATATTCTCCAAATAGCAGATGTCACCCTCCGAGTTGTCTTCTTGCTGTTTTTGCTATGTTTTTAGCCATTATTTCGCCTAGTTCCAGCTGTAGTTCTTACTCTTAAAACGAGTGAAATGTCCGCCATTTTAGTTTTTACAAAACAACTCAATCTCGTCCCCAGGTCTTCTCGGTTAACGGTGCCTTGATCTGTAGACGGCTGCATGCTTTTAGCCAATCAGAATTGGGGAAATATTTTGAATGGATAACCATAACGAATTGTGTGGATAGCGCTTTCCTAAGCGTTTGAACAACTAAGGCTTAAAGTATAAACTGTTAGTGAGTGCTTTTGTGACAAGAAGAATCCTTTCCTCCCGTAAACTTTAACTTGATGCAGTTTCCCACTGTCCATATCTACTTGGCGACATCGGAAACAAAGTTGGGTTGACCCCTGTCAAGTCGAAAAAAAAAAGAGAAAACTTTTAGCAATCCTTTTTTTCAGTTTTATCGAGGCAAAGGAAGCGAACTTACATACGGCATTCTTTGTTCTGTTTTTTTCAGGTTGGGAGCTTTGTTATCTTTCCATTATCCAAGAAAATCGAGGCGCCTTTGCTGTTGCTCAACAAGTACCTATGGTAAGTAGCAACAATCAGGTAAAAAAAAAGGGGAATGAAGAAGTGATCAACCAAGCACCTGCCTCATAAAGTTACTGAGATCATAATTAAGGAGGAGAATGGTTTTAATTAGTTGGTGAACCTCAAGGGCAAAAACAAGGGTCCTACAGTTTAAATTGAAAATTCCGTGATTGTGCTTGGTGTATGTTAGTTTATGTTTTCATCTTTTGGTCAATTATCCCATGCAGTTCGTTTTAATGCTATTGTGAGTTTAACAATGTCAAACCCAAAAAACGGGCTGGCTTCATAAACATAACGGTTATGAGCTATCTTTAGAGCCTCTGTGAGTGCTGGAGTCGAATATGAGAAAACCCAAGTCATAATTGAAACGCTGCATACGTCTTCACATATCTTGGTTTCCTGTTCTTCACTTATGTTCTTTGTCGCGCGCCCTCCTACTTACCAGTTTTTCCTCTCTCCGCCAAAGTAGGTTACATGTTCCCCTTGTTTCAATTACTTTTTATTTTCTCCTTCCTTGTCTCTAGCGTTGCTGATGAGAAAAGGCAAGAAGAAAGAAATAGCTCAGGAAAAGCTAATCACCCGAATTTACGGAAAAGCAGCTCGTCAGATTTGGCAGAAAAAATATTGGAACTGAAGGAAGCTCTTATCTCATCACGTTCTAAGACAAGGAGACTGAGCTCTGACAAGAATAAAAAACCAAATTTTCTACGTAGAACCGTCTCAGTTGACGAAGTCAACAACTTGCGAAGATCAGTCGAAGAATCAAACTCTCTAAGGCAAGATATCGAGCAGTCGCAGGATGATTACCAGAAAGATCGCTCTCGTTTCGACAATGAAAGCGAAAACGAACCCACCAGAAACTTACTTCGTTCGCTGAGTGAAAACGTTCTATTTACCTCTCCGCAAAAAGGGGAAGAGTATTCTATTCTGTTGTCACCCTTTACAAGACGATTCTCTCAACGAGGCGTAAAAGAACTGGAAACGGCCTGCGATCTAGTCATGGAGAACCCGATAAACGTGGAAAATACTTCTCAAGCGGGGACCCATACGCGGAAAAGTATAGGCCTGTCAGATGGAGAAGAAATTCCTGATGTTCGAAGTATTAGACCATATCCCGCCGAGCGCCAGACAGTCCAGTCCCCTCGCGAAGCTGTGCTAGAGGAAGCAGACGAACTTTCTTCTCTGCTGGGCAATATTCTAGCAACTATGGGCAGTTCTACTGAGTCAGAAAAAGAATCGGATTTCGAAAAGGACGTTAGGAATGAATCTGAATGTAAGAAAGTCGAAGAAATTTCAGACAAACATAGGGACGTGGAGTTGGAGTCTTTGTGTGAAACTTTAGATTTATTAATTCAGGACAATAGCAGCGATTCGTCATCTGAAAGTGAGGATGAAGGTATTAAGAGTGGGAGACGTTATAATCTACGTCAAGGAGCAGGTCATAGGAGCGCTTTCAAACCTGCCATGCATCCATCAAGACGAAAACCACAACAGTTAGGGAAAGCTAAGAGTTTAAACGAAAATTCTAAACGAATATCAACAACCACTGGTCGTTCAAGTCACGAAAAAGCTACCAAAGCAAATAGCCTTGATGTGACCACGTCGTCGAGTGCCAAGAGAGTACAAGAAAGCACTATGAAGACAAAACAAAACACGTCTAGCACAGTCTCGAAAACAAGTTCAAAGACGGCTCCAAAGAAAACCAGTAACCAAAGAGGTAACTCGGTTAAGACTCGTGTCCAGCGCCAGAAACAAGAAAACAGCTCACGTGTTTCGGAGAGCGTCAATCAACGACAAGTTACATCCAACAAACGAGAATCCTCTGTTGGTCCAAGAAACAACCAGCTTATAAGACTAAAAGTTTGGACTCGGTAAGGCCCAAGACTCGACCTCCTACAACAAAATCTAAGAGTCTTGACTATATGGAAAATGGGGTCAAGAACACGGAAACTATCCAGCCCAAGCCAAGGTCCTCGCGGTCTTCTGTCAGCGACGATAATAAGAAGGCAGCTCAAGCAAGGAACCCTGGGAGTGCACGTATCCCATCTTCGAGGCAAGACTCCGAGAAGGGAAAGGGCAGAGAATCGTTAGGAACCCATTCTAAACTGCAAGGACGCAAATCATCTTCAACAGCTAAGAAGAAAATAAGTATTAAGGAACCCCCCAAACTCTTAAATGCAGATACAGGCAGTAAAGAAAGTCGATCTAACCAAGTGGTTCCAGAGTGCAAAGATAGCAAAAGCTGCAGTGACCAGTTAGAAGGCCGTAACGTGGATACTAGAGAAGATAATGACCAGAAAAGCAACAACTGGAAGGCTAACGAAGAGATCAACCTTACTCTAGCTCTCTCTAATAAGAGTGATGAAGACCTGTTTGAAATTGTCAAGGACAACGAAGTCAACCAGTTTGAAGAGAACTTCGAACCTCTCTATAATCATGATAATCTTAAGAACTCGATACATACAAATGGAGACGTAAAAGCTGAGGAAATGAAGAAAGAAGAAGGAAACTGCCAAGATTCAGTTCTACAAGATAGCGAGCAGTCAAAGCTTGTGGAACAGAAAGGAAGCATTAAGGAGATCTCCAGAAAATCAGAGAACGTGGTTGTGGAAAACACTGAGCCCCAAACCACTAGTCGTAAAATGACATTACTGGATATTGGCAAACAGCAGTCTCAACAACGATTACAAGCCAGGAAAGAGGTAGTTTCACTTTCACTTGAAGAGCGAAAACAACAGATTTTAGAAGCAGCTGTCACAAAGTCAAAATCAAAACCAGCTGACAAAAGACGAAGTATTTTACAAATTAAGAGCCGAAATGATGGAAATCTCGTCAAGAACAAGAAAGAAGCGTTTGAAAAGCACGATGTGACTCGCACTACTTCCAGCGGTTCCATAGACAAACATCATCGAAAACATCGACATTTTCGATTCCATGGTAGGAGAAAAAGATCCTTCGAGTTGTCAAATGAGCAACTGGAAATTGTACAAGAAGATTGTGAAGAAGAAGGGCAAAGTACGAGTAAAAACGGACTTGTTCCATCTAAACAGGATCAAGATACTCGGCTTGGCAACGGAGTTAGTGCAGAATCAAAAATTGCAATGAGTGAAAACATTGAGAAGAGCGTGGAAAATGAGAAGAGCCACTCGCCAGTTAAGATAAGCCCCTTTCAGTTGCGTTTTGTTAAACGACGAGGCTCTTATGATCTCGAGAAAAGAGCAAACAGGGACAGCCTGGAATCGCAATCGTGTCAATCTCCCTTGAACGAGTATGATTGCTAAGCAATAGGTTGGTGACTCCTATCGATGATACAAGGGCTAGTCATCCAATCTTTATGACTAGTCTCTATAAAATCTGTTATTAAATTAAGCACTAAGCTTTTAAAGAGTGAAGAAAACAGTATCTCCATCTGATGATATTAGTTTTTTCACATATTTTGTAACAGAAGTATGAGAAATGTTATTCTTTATCAAGCCTCATCGTGTTTCAGTATTACTTCCCAAAATGTGTGTCAATAGACATGGTCAATGAATATAAAAATTATTTCTAATGAAAAAAGGGAAGAAACAATGACTTCATGAAGAATGCAAAGGTCTATGCAAATTTGCTCTGAAGGTGTTATGCAAAAGTTCTCTTCGTTTTTAGTTTCGAACTATTTCTGGGATTAAATTTGCTGACCAATGGCAACTTTTTTAATGGAATTACTATTTTTCTATGGTGTTCTCTATCTGCTTTTATTTTGTACAATTTTGTGCCTTTTTAAAAATTTACTGGTTTAAAAAAGACAAAATAAAGCTAAACAAGGAATTTTTAAATCGCTTTATTCTAAGGTAAAGTTCAGTTTGAACTGATAATTTGCCTCTCTTGTAGATGGGAATTTATGCACTTGTGAATGCTAAATGATATAATAAAGGTACCTTATCTAACAGCCACACTGGGATAACAACGCTAAAAAGGCCAAAAATGATGCCCTATATAAGGGTGAAGACCCTTAAAAACCATACCCTGTTGGGCACAACATACCTATCTAGCCCATATATGGAGGTACCCCCCTCCCCCTGTCACGGAAGCAACCCCGGTATGAATAGGTTACCGTAGAATTCCGAAAATAAGCCCCGGGGCTTATATTTTTCAAAGGCCCTTTTTGGAGGGGCCTATATTCGGAGGGGCTTAGGTACGGAGGGAAATTTGCGTTATAAAATCGGTTGGGCTAAATTGTAGTGGAAAGGAAATTTACCATTTTTGCTTTGTTTTACTTTGTATTCGAAAACTCCAAAGTACAAGCCCCCCGGGGGGCTTATATTCGAAGGGGCGATTTAACGGAGGGTTTTTTACGTTACGACTCTGGGGTCTTATCTTTGGAGGGGCTTATACATGGGGGAATTTTACAATTTCGGAATTTTACGATAATCGCGGTTCAACTGTATTTGAAAGCTAACAGGTTTGAATTCCCCTTGTTTTGGGTGGCAATTCAATGCTGACCAGGTTTTGGGGTCCGTCTGTCTTCAGCAGTCATATTTGATCGATTGTGGGAACACATTTAATAACCTTACCCTCTATTGCTCTCGTATCGAGCTTTTCGATGTCACTAGAGGGTTTTAACCGTCAGCCGTCAACTGGTCTCGAAATCAACCGTTAATAGTCAAAAATGGATATTTTTTACCGTCAACCGTCAAGAATGCAGATTAAGATTAACCGTCAGAAAGTTTCAAGGTACTTCAAATATCATGAGCGTTTTGCCCGAAAAATGTCAAAATTTTCGAAACCTGGAAGGGGGGTGAGGCTGCCACCCCCTCGCCCCCCCGGCCAGTACACCTTTGTTACCTTGTTAAGTTGGGTGCAGGTTTGCTGTCTGAAAAAAAATACAACTTTTGTGTTTTGTTTTGCATTTTTTTCATTCTATGAATGCTCAATTGGGGCTGGATTAATTCTTGGAAGACAATAGCTCCGGCGGTGTCTCAAATGGCACTTCGTCAAAACAAATCATAGCTGTCTTTGTTCTTAATTAGGATCACCTCTATAGTTTCTTATTAGAATTCCGATTCTGCCTGACTAGGAGTTGAAGCTCTTGTCCCATATCTCTCTGTATCTGTGGCTTATTTGCTGTTACGGTGACGGAGGTGAGCGATAAAACTTACCTTAGTTCCTCAAAAGCCTCAATTACAGACCAAATATAGACTGTGTATCTTGCTGAAACACGTGATCACGAAATGGACTGAGAAAACAGATTGAAGTTATTTTTGGGTACGAGCTCAGTTACTGGTTTGATATTCACGGATTCACATTCCGTTTACGAAGATTTCAAATTAAATGGAGAAATCAGTTCAGTCAATCATCAACTGAATAGGTGAGTGTAAAAGTTTAGGTAAGGAGGAATCACTTATGTAATTACTGTCAACATGTTTTTGCTCTTTATACAGTTCGTTGATCTAAATTGTCAAAACATTGAGTTGACTGAAGCAACTTAGTGATCTTGTCGCCCGCGTGCTTTAGGCTAGAGTTCAAAATTTCCAGCGAGAGCTAGAGTTCCTTTTTCAGTGAATCCAATGATCTATCATCTAAGAATTCTATTTTGCCAATACTGTCTTGAAGACCATTTTTGAAAAAAGGATGAAACTTTTCGGAGTCACTCATTCTTTTCACTGATTGTTATGAGGCATAATTGTTCTAGAAATTCTGACCTAATATCACACATCTGTTTCTCCAAGTACAGTTATCAGTTGGATATTGAGTGCTCGTTCTCTGATAACTAAGTACACAGCACAGCGCAAAACAATTGCGATAACTTGACGTGTTCATCATGCCGTATCTGCAGAACGCAATGAAGCCGAGCATGATGTTTTTTTATTGACTTTTAGAGTAAATTATCCGCTCACCTTGGAATTTTCCAGTAGACGTGGCTTAATATAGACTAGAATCTGACTGTCTGTACAGTCTATGGAACTTTCGAGAGCTAAAACGAATAAATATTTTCGCTGCCTGGCAGTTTCTCTTTTTTCAAAAATCCAAACTTGTCCAAGAAGAAACACCTTCCAAATAGTGACCACTTATTTTTGTAGGTGACCACTCTTCTGTTCTTATCTGAAATAACCTTCCACACCACGAACAGCCGAGCGTGATTAATAAACATACTCAGGGAAGGGGGTTGTGGGGTGGGCAATACAAACAGTGCCATATTACATACTTTAACCAAAAATTCGTTCTACCGAAAGTCTTCAGAAGAAAAGCAGGAACTTTATTCCCATGTCGCGGAAAACCAGAAATTTGTTTCGTTTCAAGGCATTTTCCATCCCTCCAGCTGTTCTTGTAGAGAAAAAGTACCCTTTGCTAAGCACTAAGTAAACTGAAAGTGACAGCCCTCTACGATACAGCCAATTAGAACGTGGCAGACACCCCCTCCCTACCCCACCAATACTTTGCTCGGCGAAGCAGCTGGCCTTCGTTTCGGGGACCAGTTGACTGTTACGGTTATTTGTTAAGATGTGGATGACGGATCTGTTCATCATCAGGGCGTAATGGCATGCGTATTAGCAACGTAACCGATAAATTTGAGTCGAGTGGGCAAAGACCACTAATCTTTACTTCCTTCAATTCAAAGAAATACTGGCGAACAATATTGTGATTCCGGTGCGTTGCTAACCTCAGTAAAACGATCAATTGAGTCATAAGTAAAGTTCTGATTTTTTACTGACTAGCTTTCAGCAATGCGACAGGTCACGCTGTCGGCTTAGAAATTAAATTGTTCCCATGCAGTTCGGGACATAACAGGGCAGCATTATTAAGTATTCTCCATTGTACAGCCAATTGAAGTTTTGTGTCCATGCTTTAATTTGAATATTTATGTTCAACTGACACATCTAAGCATTCAAGAAATCAATAAATCCCATATAAGGAGTGAAAAGCGTCATTTCGAATTACAATGTAATTATGAAAATTTCGCAGCTGAGTGCCAATGATGATATTGTAGTTGTTTATTCGTTTCGAATCGGGTGTAAAACTGTTATGTTCCATGTAGTAAAAGCGCACTTTCTCCCCGACCTCTGTTAAGGAAAACTTGAATTACACGCAGCAGAAGGAGGACTGTTTCTTTTTAATGCGGAAATTAACGAATGCCTGTGGCGAAAAAATGCCTCTTGTCTTGTCTTGTCTTGTCTTGTCTTGTCTTGAATAGTCTGGATTGCTGAGACCGGGGGAGGGGGGAGGGGGGGCTGACTGAGACCAACTGGCGCATCTCGGGTGAGGAGAGAAAAAGTGACGCGGCCCACAGTAACCGATGCGTCTAGGAGTTAAAAGAGCATGTTTTCCTTGACGAGAAGATGAACTGAGTCAGGGGCGTAGCGTCCTTTACGAAAATACGCATTTGCGTACTTGTGAAATTGGTAGGATTTTTTAAAGATTTTCTGTTATGAGTAAAAACCATTCTTGACCTTGTATTGTGCAAATATGTTCCTGCCTGTCGATGTCTCGCAGTTATTCCGCATCGTTTTTACAAAAAACAACAGTTTGAGTAGTTTGAGTAGCAGAATGTGATAAATTTGAAAGATTTTTCACAATACATTGCTTTTTTAAGAAAAACGAAGGAGGACTGGGGAAATTCATGCCAACACATTTGTCGCCGCAAAGAATCGAACCTGGCTGATTATAATTCCTTTTCAAGATTTATCTGGAAAGTTTGTTCATTCAAAAGCTATTGATTCTTTTTAATTTCTCTCTCTACATAAATGTCGAAAAAGTCTAGCAATTAAGACTATTTAATGTCGCTCAACTGGGTAATCATGGACCGGACCATGCGGAAAATTTACACAGCCACGCAACGTCGCTATTCTTTCAACCGATGCATTTAACTCTTTAAGTCCCAATAGTGACTAACAGCAATTTTCTCCTAACGATATCCATACATTGTCATGAGATGAGGTTATGAGAATTAATAAAATGATCACTTAAGAGAAAATACTTTGATCTTTTATCAAATTCTCTCAACTAATTCTTAAAGGAAATGTATAGAGATCAGTTTGGAGAATTTGTATGTGGATATTGGGGCTTAAAGGGTTAAACTCCAAATTTTCTTGAGTGACAAGCGAAAAAATAAAAGCGACAGTAGAGCTAATCTTTTATTCTTAACATAATATGTTTTGCTAAATTTTCGTTTAGCATTTGAAGGAAACATCTTATTTGAAACAAGTTTTGAATTTCGTGTGAATTATTCAGCGCTTAACTGGAAGTTTATTTAGGGAAGGCGCCT